CAGACTGTGTGGCTACTGGTATTTTTGCGCCTGCACCAGAGTCCACAGTGATGCAGGACATTGTGGCCTTGGGGAGGAACATGGGCCTCGAGGTCACAGAGGAGGACATTTCTGAACTGGTGGAGGGCCACAACCAGGAACTGTCCACCCAGGAGCTGGTCGAGATGCAGGCACAGGCTATGGAGGAGCAGGAAGAAGAAGAGCCAGAGGAAGAACAGCTGTCCACCAGGGACCTGAAAAAGCTCTTGCACCAGTGGGAGAACGTTCAGACTCTAATTCAGCGGCACCACCATGACAAGGCTCTGGCACATCAGCTTGTGCACATCTTTGATGAGAAGCCCGTGTCCCCTTTCAGAGGGATGCTGAAAAGGTGGCAGAAGCAGCTGACTATGGAGAGGTTCCTCACAAAGAGGCCAAGACAGGAAGAGAAACCTTGTCCTTCCACCAGTGGTGCCCAGTTGCCTTCTTCCTCCCCCCTCCTCCTCCTCCTAGAAGACTGCTGCTGTGATGTGGGAACAGTTCTATATGCCTCCAGGTCCCTGCATTGAACACTGGTCCGGGTGGTTTAGAGGCTTCAGCCTCCCTTGTTCACTTTAAAAATGTTAGTGTACTGTACTCTAATGTTTACTGTACTGTACAATGTTAAAATGTTAAAAGTTTCTGTCCTTAAAAAATAATGTAATGTTTCTTTTTTTGTGCACTTTATGAAGACTTTCTGTATGTTGATGCACTTTCTAAAGAGTTTTGTACAATCCAATGTTCCTGCCTCATGTTTGCTGTTTTTAAAATCTTTTTCTATGTTATTTATAAAGTTAAAGTTTATAAACCTCATGAGTTCCTGCCTCATGTCTGCTGTTTTTTAAATGTTTTTCTGTTATTTATAAAGCTAAAGTTTACTGTTTAAAATGTTTGAAATCACCTGCACAGTATTTATGATGTTAAAGTGCACTTAATAAACCCTTTGTTAACCAAATTTGACTTTGTTCTGACTCTTTTTTAATTTGTTGTTGAATTTTTTCCCCCACTGAGATGCAATGAATACGTTTCAATGCATTTCAATTGGGGAACCGCGTTTCGCTTAGCGATGTTTCCTATGGCGATTTTCGCTTAAGGACGACAATTCGTTCCTATTGGAACAGATTATCCGGTTTTCAATGCATTTCAATGGGAAACCGCATTTCACTTAGCGATGTTTTCCCATAGTAACGATTTTTTTGGAACCAATTAAAATCGTTAAGCGAGGCACCATTGTATATAGAAGAGAGACAAAAATGGATTTCTTTGAAGAAGGATAATATTATCTCTTCATTCTATGATGAAGAATATGCTATTTTAGAAAGAGAAGTGAACACTGCTCTCAAAGCACTTGGAAGAAATAAATCACCCATATGCCAACAAATGTGAAAGACAAAACAATGGCCCAGAGACTGAAAACATTTAATATGCATTCCAATGGTCAAGAAACGAGATGCGAAGGAATGTATTGACTATAGGATCACTGCACTAAATTCTAATGCAGGCAAAGTGATACTCAAATTGTTGCAAGAAATACTTCTACCATATATGGAATGAGAAATGCCTGGTTCCAAAAATGAAGAGGCACTAGACTATACCTCACATCACAAATATATGTTGGCTAATGAATTATATCAAATAATTTCAGAAGAAGATTGTTCTGTGTTTTATAGACTATAGCAAAATCTTTGACTATGTGGATCATGAGAAGCTATGGATTGTATAAAAAGAAAAGGGTGTGCCTCATCACTTCATTGTTCTGATGTGTGACTTATATTGTAGACAAGAAATTACTATTACAGAATATGGAGAAACAGAACGGTTTCCTATCTGTAAAAGTGTCAGACAAGCATGTATTTTATCTTCTTCCGTATTCAATCCATGCAGAGAACATATCATATGGATGTTCAGGTTCAGATTTAGATGGAGTGAAAATTAATGGAAGAAACACCAATAATTTAAGATATGCATATATCATATTACTAGCAGAAAGAAGCAATGACTTAAACAGCTCCTGACAGAGGTGAAAGAAAATGCAAAAGCAGGACTGTCGTTGAACATTAGGTTGCAAAAATCATGGCTACAGAAGAACCGTGCAACTTTAATGCTGACAATGAAGAAACACAAACTGCTAAATAATGTTGTACATCATGCTTCAATCACCAATTGAAATGGAGAGTGTAACCAAGAAATCTGCAGAAGACAAAAACTCAGAAGGAACTATGAAGGAGCTAGAGAAGATCATGAAGTATAAAGACATGTCACTGAAGACCAAGGCCAAGATCATCCACATGATTTTATTTCCAGTTTCTGTATATGTATGGGAAAAATAACAGAGGAGAAAGCCGACAGGAATAAAAATAGATGTCTCTGAAATACGGTGCTGGAGGAGAACTTTGGGGATACTATGGACTGCCGGAAATACAAAGTGCAAGACTGAACTCTCTTTAGAAATCAAAATGACAAAACTGAGGCTGTTGTACTTCGGGCATATTGTAAGAAGATAAGACTTGGTGGAAAAGACAATAATGTTTGGAAAAATTAAAAACAGCAGGAAAAGAGGAAGATGAAATTTGAGATGCATTGACTCCATCACTGAAATTATAGCTTTGAGTCTGCAGAAGTACAGCTGAGCAGCTGATTGACGGGACATTTTGGAGGTTGCTCATTCATATGATTTATGTAAGTTGAAGGTGACTTTTGATGGCTAGGGATCAGATTTTCATACTTTTTCAATCACAGCACAGTCTGGTGGAAATACCTAACTTAAGGCATATCCCAAAAAGCTCTTGAGTGTTTGAAATATATCTTCAGAATAACTAAGAAAACTTTTCTCAGAAATGTTTCTCTCAGTTCGTGAGCTGCAGAGTGTAAGGTGATGGAGGAACTGGCTAGGCCCAGGACTAAGTTCTGTGGGTGCTGCAAAGCATTAGTGGTATTGTATCTCTGTCCATTATGTTCCATAAAGGGTGACTCTCAGGGAACTATAATATAGAGATCTGCACCAGCACCGCAATTTGAATTCAGAATTCAAATGCATTAAAGTTCCTTACATTTGGAATTTCCAGATATACGAGGCTCCATTACAGTCATATAGTCATTATTTCCCCCTTTTAAAAAATACGAAGAGGTAAAACATTTCGAAAGGATTTCCCAGTGTCCTGACACCTTTCCAGTGATTGTGCCAAACAAAAAGAGTGCACACCAACAGCCAACAGTGCAACAGGTATTAGGAAATAACTGTAATGGATATACTAATTGAAACCTAAACAGTGGGTATGGCAATAGGAAATGTCAGCTGCATTCGGGAAGCAGTGAGAAGGGAGCAAATACCCTGGGCAACACTAATAGGCAGAACTATGACAACAGCATGGGGCACAGCACAGTGGAGTGAGTGAGTACAATCTTGATTAACAGTTCAAAGAATAAAAGAGGCAGGAAGAGACGGTTGCTACTGTACAGCATAGGATTTCCTTATAACTTAGTACAATGCTGCAAAGAGCAGCACTACTACTTAATGGAAGAAATGGCAGTTTTCAACATTCCCTCTAAGTTTCCGTCCTGCTGTGTGGGAACTCGCTCCATGTGCATGGGTGGGGCAGGGCTTCATTCAAAACAGGAAGTAAACAAACTGGCTGCCCATATGCAACCCCAACAGAGCTGTATGTGCACAGCTTAGAAGGAACATTGGTTATGTTATCTCTTCTAGCAAATTAAGTTATTTATTAGTGAATAACTGAACTGCATGATGACAACATACCAAAAATACAGAAGTTGTTACAGTTACTTTTAAAGATGTGGAAATAATGGGCTAACAAAACTCTAGTTCTTCATTCTGTTCATCTCTTTCTGTATTTCTATACCTCTTTCAGAAGTGCTTCTGTGTCTGGGTTGGAAGTTTCTGTGGTAGTTGAAGAACTATCATCATCTGCTAGGGAATCTTTCAGTTCTTCTTCTTGTTGCTTTCCCCTTGTTCTTCGCTCTTTTTCTTCCCTTCTCTTCTGGGGTTTAGGCTTGCGCTGAAATTGTTTCCCTTTCCCTAGGGTGCGAAAAGCAGCTTCTAAGCAGCAACAACAGTGATCAGTGTTAACTTTAGTAAGCATCACTCTTTTATCCATATGATTTTCCTGGGCCAAAACCTTCTAGGAATCAATTTTACCTACTATATTAAAATTTATATTAAAATGTCTGTGAATTTCATTGTATGGGTATACTGTGTATATACTTACAATGGCAATAAATAAATAAATAAATAAATAAATAAATATACACACGGCTTGAAATTAATGAGACTATACAGACTTGTAAGAGCAAAATTCTGATGTACAGTATTATGTCTCTGCCAGTTGTGCTTTTAATGTCAGTCTTAAAAAAGGGGGGAGGGGTCAAGATCAAATGCTTACTTGGGTTTCCTTTCTCCATGTATAATGTGACTTATATTAGAGCAGGAAGAGGGGGCAACCAAATATGAGATGGACTGATTTCCTAAAGGCTTGAGTTTACAAGAACTGAGTAGGGCTATTGAGGACAGAACATTTTGGAGATTGCTCATTCATTGGGTTGCCAAATGTCACAGGCAACTTGATGGTATATAACAACAAAAATGTGACTTAATGTTGGTTGGTATTCCATAGTGTAGCACTGCTGCTACAATGAAATTAATGTGACTGTAGAAGAGGGTTTTTTTTTTCAATTTTGGGGTACATGAGTTGTATGCACCCTGAATTTTAAAAAAGGAATGCTTTAGTTAGTAACAATCTGCCACAATTAGTGATGTCACTCCCACTGGGCAGATGGACTATGCCACAGGATACTGGGCGTTATATTCATAGGCTGAAATTCTCTTGCACAGCTCTATCTGTACAATGGGAATGACAGCAGCAGCAGTAAACTATCACTGATTAAAAGCTTCTTTTTGTGATTTTGGGGTGACTGCAGCTTCCACACAATGCAACAAAGTTGTGTGCACTCTGAAAATGCAAAAGGAAGCCTTTCATCAGCAACAATCTGCCACAACCACTGATGTCATACCTGCTTTGTAGATGGACTCTGTCCATCAGGGTTTTTGTATTTTCTTATTATGTATAAGACTACATAAAACTGACATTGAGAAAGCAATTCACAGGAGTTACAGAAGTGAATAAATAACAACACACATTTTCAAGACTCTTCTTTGAAGGAGCCATTACCTCTTTGAAAACAACAGCAGTGTGCAGTGCAAACAGCTTTTAAATACACCTTTGAATATGAGTACTTTAATGTTGCAACCCATTTCACTGAAAACTGATGCATGTGCTCACCATCTCAGTTTGCACTTGATTACATGCACTTTGTGCACTCAGGATTCAAATCAGTAAAGTAGAAGTGCTAGTACGGTAAAACTAGGGGGCTTTTTCTTCTATCTTTCTTCTTTCTATAATGTGTAGCCCCTTTATAACTACAAGGGGTACAAAATATATTTTATAACTATTAGTGCTCTGCACCTTGAAGTACTCAGCAATTCCACTGCTCTTTCTCCATCTCAATCCAAGGAGATGGGGATTCTTATTCAAAGTCTTGCATGACAAAAAACAAACAGAAAAAGGCTGCATGACAGTGAACAAAGTGAAATTTAATTGAGATAAGCCAGAAAAATGCCCTTGATTAGTAAGTCCAGCAACAGATATTCAACCTATTTTGGATGGGATTGTGTGTCCCTTCAAGAATCAGGGAAGCAGCATAGGAATGCCGCAGTACCCAGATTGTCTCCTGGATGGTGAGGTGGCAGCTGTAGCCAGAAGACATGGGCATTATAGTTGCACTGCCATTTGATTACTATGAGCAATATTCTTCAAACTACTTCTGAAGAGTATCTGGAACTTTCAGCTGAAGGTTTCTACTCCTAAATGACTTAGGGCCATGATGTTTTGTGGACTAGCTTTAAGGAAAATTTGGTATCAATTGGAAATACACCATTGTATGTCCTACAACAAAATGTAAGACAATAATTTGATGGGAATGCCAGACAGAGATGTGCATGTCACTGCTGTAAGCTCTAGAATGCCATGTCTGGGAAACCAGAGAACACATTCACCAACAACATTCTGTTCAAGTAAGACCAATGCCTGTTTGAAAGCATGAGAAAGTTGGTACTCGTTTTATGCCTTTCGACTGTGAGATGGTGGTGGGGTACACCTTTATTAGACCATTACAAATTGCAACAAAACACTAGTTTTTGACTTGTCTTCAGGCTGAGCACCAGGGGTCTGTGTGTATGGTGCAGGAAAACAGGAGTTCAAAAAGTTATGGCCACATTTGCAGATTAGGTTTATCTGATTATATTTCACTGCAAAAGGGGTGTAGTTTCAAGTCAGAGGTGTAGGTTTCAGATTCCACCTCTGGTGGTGTAAAAGGCAATGTCAATTCAATTTGGATTTTGCACAAAAACCACTCAGCTTTTTTTCTTTCCTCTTATTTTGCACATTTGTGTTTCTGCTTGATTGCTCCATTTGCTGATTTACGCATCATTTTCAGAACTCATCTCAGATTGAGAAACAATAGCCAGATGTTTAAGTAATTAATTAAATATAACAATAAAATAATGCACTACTATAAAACTGAAAGCAACATCAAAACAAATTCTCCATTAAAAACTTTAAACACTTAGTGAAACAATCTCCACCAGAGCACAGAGAGTTTTCTAACTCCTGTCCTCTGAAGATGCCAGCCACAGAGACTGAAGAAACGTTAGGAAGAACAACCTTCAGAACACAGTTGAAGAGCCCGAAAAACCCACAACAACTATCAAATTCCAGCCGTGAAAGCCTTTGAGAATACATTAAAGCTCCACATCCTTTCTCAGTTCTGAATATATATACCGTGTATAAGTTTATATATATGTACAGGCATATGTGTTACATGTACTGTACATATGTAATATGGGAGAGAACCAGTATGATGTAGTGGATAGGGTATTGGACTAGGATTCAGGAGACCTGGATTAAAATCCCTGCTCAGCCATAAAAACTCATTGGGGCATGGCAATGGTAAACTGCTCCTTGAACATCTCACATACCTTGAAAATCCCATTAAGTCTAATACAGACTGATGGCATGTAACAACATAACAACATGCATATGTTGTATTTATGTCTACAAATAAATACACATACAATACACACTAAGACAAAGGATAGAGACTAAAACTTTAAACCTCTCATTGCCTTGGGCTCTGCGTTCAATGTAAATGCTGAGTGGAGAACACAGAGGTACAGGAGACAGAAGAAAATGTCTTAAAACTGGCATTTCTCTTCATAAGTTCTAATTTGAAGTTAGCATAGCTAGGTCTCTACTCCTTTCAGTGCCACTGTCTTCCCCACTGCTACCCACCTCAATCCTTAATCCTTAATAATAAGGGGAAGATATATCCTATATGCAGATGTTGTGACGCCCTGGTGGAGGTCACCTGCTCATGGTCCAGTCTAATGGAGGAGAAATTAGACTTTTCCTAACTACTTTTTCTCACTAAGCACTTATAACTTTATGCATCCAATTTTTTTTTTAAAAAAATTGTTGTCATTGTTAAAACACAGTTAATGAGATTAAACAGTTTATTACCTTTGTTTTTTGCTACTGGAGATGGGGGGTGCTCTGTAAATACATCTGGAGAAGGGGATTCTGGGTGATCAAAGTCTTTGTCCATGGTTTCTATCAGAGTAGCTATATCAGAGTCCTCTGAGCTGTGCCTTGTGTTTCCGGCACATTCTGAATGGGAAGGAGGATGCAGTGACTGTGGCAGGGAATCTTCATTCTGCTGCTCTTGCTGCTGAGGTACCACTGGTAGCTGTGATAAGGGTTGCTCTAATAAAACTGGAGCATGCTGCTGGTTTGACTGCAGATTTTGTTTTGTACCCCTGGACCTTCTGTTTGCTACATGGTTCTGAGCTGCACCACTGGAGTCCAAGAAGAGAGAATTTGCTCTGTTTGCTGACCCTGTCTGCACAGAAGTCCTATTAGAAATATTTGAATTGCTTTTAAACTTCACATTCTCAATTTCTGCTGAATGTCTATTGCTGTGTAGGGTTACTGTTGAGTTGCATTGCTTATGACTTCCTGCAGTAGAACGTGATGAGGAACCTCCTGATCCATAGATTCCTCTGGAAGAGCTGTGGTTAGAATCTGATCCAAGTGCATTCAAACTGCAAGTAAGAGTAAATACATTTAAATCACACAGGCCAAATATTTTGTACGTGGTTTCGACAAATACAACGAAGTTACAAATTGATTCAGGAAAGCACAATTAACTATTTAGCTATTAAAATTTTTAGGTAATTGACTAAGACTGATGCAATGCAATGCACCTTCTGTAGGAAAGTATGTGGCTATTGTAATGCTGAGCCAAGAAATTTAACAGAAAAAACTAACATTGCTACAGAATAGTGCAAGAGCCCTTGCCATCAAGAAACATTATTATTACAGATGTTAAGCTAATGACAGGTACTTGTCTGTAACTGTGATTCTTCTAGTGGTCATCTGTAAATTCATACATACGGGTTATTTCTGCATCTGTGCAAAACTTCTCAGAACATTCCAGAGCCTAAAGAAAACTGTCAGATCAGTTCCCCACACTATGCATGCTCCCATGCTTAACAGTCAGTCCTCAGTTTCCCCAGTCTGCTGCTGACAAGGAAAAACTGTTGTGTGGCAGACTCAGGGGTAGGTTGTGTGAATTCACAGATGAGCACTTGAAGAAGCACAAACATCTAACAAATTATTTTTCCAGTTCTGTAGTGGGTGATGGAAAAATCATTGGAAGTACCAGTGGTTGGTTACAGTGGAAGTCCAAATCTACTTTAGGTAGGAGAGACACGTTGGGGGAAATGGTAACTATATTCTTACAGAACTGCAGGAAAAGTGTGTCATGCTGGAGAGCACATACTTCACTCACTCTTTTGTACTGAGGTTACTGTTACAAGAAATACTGCTTTGTATGTAATTAGTTTTAAGTCTGCAGTAGCCATAGGCTCAAGTGGAGGTTGGTTGAGCACTACTGAAAGTAACCACCATAGGAGGTGGCACCTACACATTATTGAAGACACTGTAATCCTTGCTGAACCTTTTGAGAGTTGCATTTTTGAAAAACTGAGATGCTTTGGAAGTTGGAGGCTGCTTTGCCACTGTAGCTGATAAACTTTTGAGGAGGAATCTGACAAATGCTTTTCTTTCATATGCAAGAGAAAAAGTAGCATCACATATAGTGAGGGTGGGAGCCTAGGTTCTTCTACTGAAAGGATGAAAACCTCCATAATTTGCATCTGTAGATATGTCTGGATGGTTTTCTAGATTCATGGATAATTCTCTTCAGTTTTGGGAGAATTTGCTGTCAACCTCAGCATGATTAGGTGTGGATGGTGAACTGTCCCCTGTTCTGAGATAGTAAGTGTAGGATAACAGGTAGCTGGTAAGCGTCCGCTGTTATTAGCATTAATGTTGTGGACCAGGCCTGGCATGGTCACCATGAAGCTATCAAAACAAAACAAAACAATAACTGGGTTTTTCATGACAAAGTTTTACTACTAGGAACAGCTGGGTTGGGATGGTGAACTGTTAAATAGTCCAGCCCCAGTACCTAACCTCCTTGCAATCAAATCTATCACAGGCAGTACAGTGATAATTATGATAAATGCCTACATACCCCCAATCTCCTCCCAGTATTATAACAGAGATATCTGGCTGCAGCTGAAATATTTATTGGAGGAGTTGGGCGATTTCAATGCCAGAATGGGTTCATCATTGCCAAAAGTTGCAGAGTTATGGGCACTGGGGATGATAGCTCTCCAGATCTAAATTATTGGAAATCTAGAGATAAAAAGATAAATAACACAGGTCTAATTTTATTTAGGATAACTTACATGTTTGACCTACAGATCATAGCTTTCAGTGAATGTAACTCAGTACACCCCTTCACCTATTTCTCTGCATATTCAGGTTGTGTTTGCAATTACATCTGTGTTTCAAGAGGGAAGACCCAATTATTTTCTGGGATAATTGCTAATATTAGGGAAGACAATGACCATCAACTCTTAACAGTGAAACTAGCAATGGAGTCAGACCTAAGGTAAACTCCAGGCTCTGATAAATCATTAGGAGAGAAGTCTGAATTTCATCAAAAAAGAAGCCTAAAATGGCAGAAAGTAAATGTGAGCAAAATAAATGCTCTTTACAGCTCAAACAAGGATAAGGCACTATGTGATATTATTTCAAAGCCTGATCCTGATGCTGACTCAGTACTGCAAATGTACCAAGATCCCTGCGAGTATTTGAAACCCCCTCTACCACATAATTCAAGGTCAAATAAAGTAAAACCTCTGAAGATGCCATGGTTTGACAAAAAATGCAGAGTAGCAAGGATGAAGCTGAGAAGGCAGATTCACAGAGTACATCTTACAACTGTTCTCTGAGAACATGGTATTACATTGAAACTGAGATGTAATTATAAAAAATTGGCCAGAGTAAAGAAATCAGAGTTCCAGGACAAATTTTGGTCAGATCTCAAGCTAGCAGCAACTAGGACCAATATGACCCAGTTTTGGTAGTTAGCCGCCGGGTAAGTTTAGAGAAACAAAATCAGTATCTAACATTCCCATTACAGCCACAATATGGAAACATCTCTACACAAACCTATTTAAAGAAGACAGAGTGGAAAGAACAATCTGCAGGCAACTTTTGACATCAGTTATCAACGGCCTTCCACCATGGCTCCCAGAAATCTGCCTTTGAGATAAAATTGCTTATCCAATCACTGGGGACCAAGGGAGGATTTTCTCCCACCTGAGTTATTTAAGACAAACATAGACTGGTGGGCCACACTCATGAGAGGTCTTTTTACAAGGATGAACAATATATGATGTTTTCCAAACAATTTTCGGCACCACAGGGTGGGGCTCTGCCTCTCTCATGCACAACTTCACCCCTGCATGAGCATGTGACTCTGCTCCCGCCCCCATGCAGAGGAGTAGAAAAGCTGTACGGAGGGAGGCGGAGGCACACGCCTTAGAAGGAACCTTGGTTCCAAAAGGTTGGAAACTAAGTATAATTGCACCAATATATAAGAAAGGGGACCAAAAGAACCCTAAGAATTATAGACCAATCACCTTGATCAACATCTCAGCAAAAATCTATGCCAATTACCTCCAGCAAAAATCAGATGAATAGGCAGAAGAACATGCCTTGCTGGCTGAAGAACAAACAGTACTTAAGAGGGGTAGATCTACACTGGATAAATGTTATATCCTACACCACGTGGAAACAAAATACATGAGGGAAAATGGGCAGCTTTATGTTGCCATCATCGACCCTAGCTTTATGTTGCCATCATTGACTCTATAACAGAAAATGGCTCTGGGAGAAAATGCTTGATGCCAACATTGATTTGAGGCTGTTGATTTTAATGAAAGCACTCTGAAACCAGTCTCAGGATCCAAACTAGCGTTAACACATGCTCTCTTAGACCAGAATCCAGAATACAAGGGTGTTCATCAAAGCACTATCCTAGCCCCATTTCTTTTCAATTTTTATATAAATGATTTTGACAGAACCCTGCAAAACCAAGACTTCCACATGCCCAAAATTTTAGACATGTGTAAATCTTCTACTCTGTGAAGATGACATGATCTCATTGTCTACTATACAAGTTAGACTAAGAAGACTACTAAGATGATTTAGTTCTTACTATGTAGAAAACAACCTAGTCATTAATAATGCCAAATCCAAAGTTGTAGTCTTTGGTAAAAAGAAAAAAAACCTATATAAGTGGTACATAAACTCAAAAGAATTAGAGCAAGTAAAATCCTACTGTTACCTAGACATAACCTTCTCAGCTATAGAAGCATAGTTCTTACAGATAAAGAGAAGTGAACTGAAAGCAGCTGCAAAGATTGCTGAATTTTACTTAACCAGGCACACTACACCCAATTTTAAAGATCTTCAAGGCAAAGGTAATACAAATACTGGACTAATTTTTGGTGTAGTAATCTGGGGTTTTGCTGACCTCATCAATATTGAGAGAGTTCAAAATCAATTCTTGTGTATGATACTGGGAACCTCAAAATCTACATCACCCTGCTTAATTAGAGCAGAACTGGATATGGGGACGATTCCTGGCACAATTTATGCCGGAATGGTTAGCAATTGGTGCAAAATTAATCAGATGAAAGAAAGCAAACTTCCTAAGATCTGTTTAGAGGAATAGAGGGTAACTCTCTCTGAACACTACTGGTTACTTTGAAAAATTACTCCCAAAATGCTGTTTTTCTATACAAGCATTTAATCCAGGAGCAGTGATATAAAAATATATATTTAGACAAACAGTACTAGATGCTGAAGCTCAAACTGATCTATTATTAGATACTTCAAAAATGTTAAATGGTTAGTGGGTACGAAGCATCTGCATCAATTTGAGAAATATCTGTCACATCCTATGAAAATTTGAACTCTGCAAAGCCTTTACCAGCTTACGTTTTGAACAAATGGAATCAATGACAAAATTTGGGAGATACCAATTCAAGACAGTGTATCTGTGGGGCATCAGCTGTTGAAAATCTAATTCATTATATACTAACATCAGAGAATGTTATCTAGATCCGCCCAGAGTAGACCATGTCTAGATGGACAGTATATAAATGCAATAAATAAGTAAACGAATAAATAAATCCCTTGCTAAAGAGAAGGAGGTTCTAGGATGTGAAATAGAAACTGGACTTTCTGATTCAAGGGACAAACCAATACATGACTCAAAACATTGTACTATTTGAAATAAAGGCAGCTAGATGCAGGGAGAAATTTAAGGACTCTGGACTAAAACCAGTACTGAGCTGTGAAAATATAACAGCATGAACGTAATCTAATAAACTCACTAATTTTAGTGTATCTTAATATAATCACAGTTGAATACCACCTGTAACTGATTAATCTATCTCATAAGTAAAGTATTTTTTTTCCAAAGGTATCTAAAGTACCAATTTAAAGGTATCCAACATGTATGTATATTTATTATGTCTCTCATCCTAATTTTAGCTGTTTTTACAGTTATTTGTAAGTCTGACTGATTGTATCTGTTCTATCTTGCCATGGTCTTTGACTGGCACAATAAATACTTTATCATACTATTCTGTGCAGGAGGGGAATTGGTGGGAAGAAATGCCTTCTCACAGTGGCATCTAGTGAGTCCTCTCGGCCCACTTGGGAGCAGTATTTTTGGCACTTTCCTGTTGTTTGTGGTGGCAAATAAATCTATATTTGGATACCTCCAGTGGTCACAAATCTTGGTGAACACGTTTGTGGTTAGTTCCTACTCATGGTCTTAAGATAGCTGGCTGCTCAGGTTGCTGGCTATTTCATTGTTTTTCCCTGCTACATGGATAGCCATTGGGAATATGTGACACAGGGTATTCCCAAAACTGGATTGTCAGGTACAACAAAGATATGGAGTGCATTCCTTCCTGTTTGTAGCCACTTATATTGTCTTGCTCAGTATCAATGTCTCAAATGCTTTATCACTGCTAATAATTCTTGCTTGTTTATGCGGAGACCTTTTTCTTTCTTGGAGCAAAGGGCATGTATTTCCTGGTTCTGACAGTGTGGTCCTCAACCCATCAGACTTGCACTGGATCCTGGGCCTGAGATGCTTCAACAGTCTTCCCATGGTTAGATTGAATTTGTTGGTCCACCACAAGGGGAGACTTGTCGCACTTCCACCTTGACTCTTCACTCCTTTTCTTTGTCTGTCTTCTTGGTATTCAAGTCGACAATAAACCAACTCAGCAAGGGAGTGTTCTAAAAATCACTCCACCCAGCTTATTTTTAAAAGTGCTTTTTTCTCTTACAAAATATGCATTGTACTCACAAACCAGAAAGATATAAGTTGGAAAACATTTTAAAATCTTCTTTCAGTGATTGGGAACAGCTGTTTAGCTGCTAGACATTCTCTTACACCCCTGGATTCGCCCACGTTAAGAACCACTGGTCTAGGAAGAGTGGTGGAAAGTGACATTCTGTCCCCAGACAGAAGTGAGGCAGTACTGCAATGGTACATCACCTCCGGTATCGCCCACTGGAATAGTGTGGCTTATGAAGGTTCTTTCAATGTGGAGAGCTCTTCTCTTTCATCTTGGATACTCTGAAGAAGAGAACTGTGAGAATTCCCAGCTTCAAGTTGAATCACTGGAGTGCAAAAGCTGTCAATTTTCCTGTAACAGGGAAAGCTTACTTAAAGTCTGCTGCGTGAGCTAATTTTGTTTTAGGGAGTGGCTGAAAGTCAGAAGCGAGGAGTGAATTTGAGAAACCTCTTCCTCAGAGGCAGAACTAAGTCTTTCTGCTCCTTGGCCTTCAGTTAATGCTGCTGAGGGGAGAGTCGGGATACTGGTGGATGTCCTTTGGTTAGGTGTAGCTGTCTTAGTTCTTTGTTTAGGTTTAGACTTCTTAGCTGTAGCAGTCTCTGGATCTGTTGACTTCTTCCTTTTCTTTGATATTGAAGATGATGTCAGTTTCAGGGCTAAGGTCAACCTCAGTGTGAAAGACCTATCCTTGAGGTCAAGAGACAGTGTCTTATGAGTGGAATCAGTCTGCAGTGGTGCTTAGTCATCTTGGAGTCTAGTGGTTTACAATTCTATCTGGAGTGACTATATGAGGACCTGCCTAGAAGATGTTTCACATATAGATACCAGAGAAAGGTAGACAAAGAGGACAGACGATGGTGAACAGGTAAGATCTATTTATAACAATGCAGTGAAAAGGGCTCCAGAAAATGTTCCAAGATGTTTCTTCAGCAACAGCTGAAAGAGAATTGAGGGCTAACCATTAAATACAGGAGCATGCGTACTAAAGGGAGCTGGTTTAATGGTTTTCTTTAGGCTCTGGAATGTTCTGAGGAGGTGCAAAAACATCCCACATATGTGATTCACAGAGACCATGAGGAACAATGAAGTTTACATTCAATCCCAATTCAAAGCATTTCAAATAATTACTTACACTACATTCTATCCAGACACCTTTATTGGATTCACTTTTTTCCTGTTTCAGATACTTTTTTATTCTTTTTTTTCCTATACCTTTCTTTGTTTTCTTTGAAATTACTCTAGGTCAAGTTTCAGACTTGATTTATTATACATTAGGACAATAGACAAAATGGTTAAACCCAAACAATGATTTTTGGCAGGTAAAATCTAAAATTAGCATGCACATATATCATTAATTGGTGTTCTCCCCATGTATTTTTCATTCAAACTGCTCCAAAGTACCAAAAAATAATAAAGGAACCACAGCTACTTTAAATTGACCACAATATAACATATATGTACAGATTGTTTTTTTTTAAAGTTTGCTTGCATTTGATGTTTTAATTTTAAAATGATAACCCATGGACTGCCATGCATTACACATGCATATGAATGTGCAGTAGAATTTTAAATTCAATAGACGTTTTTGCTTCACTTATGATCCGCTCAAGTTATTGCAAGCCTAGTTATTTCCTTCACAAATGTAATCTATACAAATGAAAAAAATATAAATATATAAATATCCAATTCATAAGTAAAGACTTACTTTCCATCAGATGAAATTCCAACTATTCTCCTGAGATCAAATGGCCTTCCCATATCAAAGGGAGGATTGGATGCCTCAAAGGACAGTCGTCTTCTGAATGGCTCCCAAATTCCTTGAGCTTCTAAGTAGGCTGTTCCAATTACCAAAAGGAAGAGCACACTACAAAGAACAAGCATACATAGCTTTACCATCTTAACACTTAGAAACCAGAGACACAAGGAAAGCCCATTCTTGCTGATAAGCCAAGAGCTTAACCCTCACTTACACAAATCACAAAAATAACCATGGTGGCAAAGGGATAAGCAGGTTCAACAGCATCTACACATTATATAATTAATTTGTGCATGAACACCTGTCACTGGATATACAATGAAAACAAGAGAGGGAAGACTAAAATATTATAGGAAAAATAACAAAATAAATGCAGCTTGTGAGTCACTAGGCCTAGGGTTCAGGCAAGCTGCTCATAAAACTCAACGGTGGGTACTCTAGGCCACTGGTTCTTAACCTTGGGTTACTCAGGAGTTTTGGACTGCAACTCCCAGAAGCCTTCACCACCAACTGTGCTGACTGGGGTTTCTGGGAGTTGCAGTTCAAAAGCATCTGAGTAACAAAGGTTAAGAACCACTGCTCTAGGCAATGAAACTATATCACTTAGTAAGTAGTATCTGAGTTTAGGATCAATTTCTCACAGAATTATTCCTGTTAACTGTGTCTGCAGGTTTAAAAGAAACTAAATCTCCCAACCTCTTCCTAATTCATTTATACAAAGTTCTTAATAAAATCTTGAAAAGTATAAAAAGCGCTTAATAATAAGTATAAGACATCTATGTGCTCAGTTTCTAACATCAGTTACAATCTACTTTGTGCACAGCAACAGCAATAGGATTTAGCATTGCTGCTGGTATACCATGTGTTGTAACTGATATTTCAGGAGATTTTATTTATTAGCATCCCAGAGAGACTGTTGCTTATTATATAGTTGCAGGGTACTATTCTATTACATTAAAAACTGCCTGTTATGAGGATACATTTGTAGGTTCAAAAACTGCAGCATATCATAGAGATCTAACTCTAAACTTACTAAGGGTGATAATAGTAGAACTACTACTTAAATACCTTGAAACCCCTACAAAGATTGCTGTAAGTTCAATGTGACTTAATGGCACATACATAATATACAGAGAAACAAACAAAATCCAAGCAACGTATGCACAGTACCTCATTATTCCTGAGACAACTACGTACAGTGCCAGTTCCCAGTTAGGTCTGGGTAAGGCTTCTGCACAAGTTGCTAACATATGATAGGGAAGGGATGCATTTAATGTGAATATAAATTCAGAGCCTCCTGCTGTGGTTAACTTCAGTTCACGAATAACTCTGGAAGTAGTGAAATCTGGTGTAAACCTGTTAAGGGTACAGAACAATTGTTATGTTTAGCTGTGTCATACAATTTCTCACTGAAAACATTTTGAGCTGGGGAAGATCCTTCTGAGCACTGAATCCATCTTAGATTAATTTTCCTTCAGTCCCCACTATTCTACCTTCTCACTGAAGCAAATCACAGTGAGGTTTTCACTGAAAACTGTTTCTTACAATATATAATGTGCTTTGGGAAAACCCATTAGAGACCATGAGAAATTCAACAGATCCTGTGGTCCACCTAAGCCCAATAGACAGTAAATTCTTCAGGATTCTTTGCAATGTACCGCCACCACACAGGTTTAGGGAAAACTGGGAGAGATAGTGGGGGCCCAGAGGGAGGCTTTTAGGCTTAATCCTCCTCTCTGTCATCGCAGAATTAAAATGTGAAACATGTAAAAGAAAAAGAGGTTTTTATTTAATCTGATTCTGAAAATGCATTTACTGAATACACCTCTCTGTCAGGATTGGACCAAGTATCAAGATAAATGGAATAATGCATGCCTATCATTCAAAATGTACGTACACTTTACTATACTGACACTTGATTATGTAGTCTACAATTATCAGTTCATTCAGCGATTACTTGATATTATAGGAAAGGATCACAAAGCTCACCTTTGTATCAGATTCACTATATCAAGGGAACACTCTCCATATCAATATAAATACTGGTAATAGAACAAATCTCTAATGTGTATTTTAATTCATAAGTTTAAAACTGGTAACAGAAGTATATGCCATATATGCCATATATGTATCAGATCAGAAAACTTCAGTAAGTAAGAGCCTTAACAGTGAAGATTACTAGCTGGGAAACAAAGAGATCTGGAATTTCCCCATTAATGAAATTTAAGATTCTCCAGAGCCCTCAGCAGCTGAGGCTCACACTGAAGATTAAACGTTAGGAACAATTTATAATATGACATGAGAATATCTATTTAAAAAAAGACTCCTGCTGGGTATATGCAATAATCAATATATATAATTTAATGTTTTACTGGAGTGTTCTCTAACATGATAGGAAATGTAAAATACGTGGGAGCTGCAACAAAATACAGTGGTGCCTCGCTTAGTGATATTAATCCGTGCAGCAAAAATCGGTGCTAAGCGATTTCATCGCTAAGCAATATTTAAAAGCCCATAGAAACGCATCAAAATGCCATTAATGCGTTCCTATGGGCTTCAAAACTAACCTTAAATATCCTCCATAGGGGTGGCCATTTTCGGTGCCTCTAAAGCGAGGCAACACAACGGGCGGCTCTTTTGTTTACCCGGCGGCCATTTTGGAACCGCCGATCAGCTGGCCGAAAATGGGGGCTTTGCGATGATCACTTCCCTGTGATCATCGCAAAGCGAATTTTCCCTATAGGGAACATCACAAAGCGATCTCTTTTGCAATTGCAAAAACAGTGTCGCAAAGCGAACTCTTTGTTAGACGGAGCAATAGCTATGCGAGGCACCACTGTAGTTAAATTACAGGCATACAAGTGGGAGCCGGACAGAGTATCTTCTGTTCAGGACTCCTACCACTTCATTATTTTGTTCATTCAATCTGTTTTATCCCTCTGCTTAGCCAGTTAATTCTACAAGGTCAGTTGGCAATAGTGTTCTTTTACCAATATCTGATGTTTTTCCATGTTTGCTCCTAATTTCCTCTTTTAGTTGGTTGTTTGGTGATGTTTTTGCTATATAAGAGCAACTACTCACACACACTTGAGCACAATATTAGTATACAGACTGAGTTTACCAAACACTGTTATAAAATGAACTATGGAATCAATTCAGTTCCAGTTACTCTGAAACACACTAGCATGGAATTTGTTTAATGAAAAAATAGTCTTCTAAAGAGTTCTGTGATTTTTTTTTCTGGCTTGAGTTTTATGCTATGCTCAAAAGAGTTTCAGAACACTCTGCAGATGCAAATAATGCAATAAAATTTGGCCAATCTGTTCATGAAATTGTTTTACATGTACTTGAATTAACTGCACACATGGACTACATCTTTCTCCAGAAATCAGTGAAAATACTCTGTCAAAAACATGATGCAATCTGCCTGTTTCTGTATCTCTCCATCACCTTGCTGCTAAATCTGGTAGCAGAGTGCTATCCTACATGCCTTAATCTAGTAACAACAAAATGTTTTATTCTGCTGCCACTACTTATCAGCAGAGATGTTGTACCCAACAGATTTAGGCAGGGGCTAGCTCCTGGCTCCACCAAAGTTGTCTAACCCAATAAGGTAATATTTTTTGGACAGAAACTGTATGATTTTTGGTGATAATTATAAAAAAATGGTTATTATTTTTGAAAACGATCAGCATGCTCTTAATTTAGTGCTATTAGGAACTCAAAAGGCATAAACGAATAAAATTTATTTGTAGTATTATAAGACAGAAACTCCCAACATTTGGAATGCTGAAAGAGAAGCTGAAGGAGCAACAATAAATGAAGAGTACTGTGAAAGAGCTAGCCATGTTGTACAACATAGATAACATGGAAGGAGAGGACAAGGAAATGACTTGCTAAAGAATACAGTTGCCAGTCCTGAATGTATCATATATATTATCACATTTCTCATAGTTTTGTAAACCACTCTACTATGCAGACAGGTATGGAAAAACTATTTTCTAGTACTATTTATACATAAAACTACAGAAACACCAGACAATCCCTTCTCTTTTAAGTTGAAGGTGGTGCCAGCCATCAACATAAGTAAACTTACAATATGACTAAGTCTTTAGAGGCATTGGCGTTTAGTGCAAATTCTTGACAGTTAACTACTTTAAATCCATATCCTTCACACGAATATCCACTGATTTCCTGGGATTTTATATTAAGTTGAAGCTGCCCTGTATTCTCCACTTTGAATGTTCTTTTCAAAGTAAAATTTGGTTCCTTTAATTTAATTTCTAAAGGAAAGAGAAGAAAGCAAATATTAGATTAATACAATGCAACAACTACCTACACCAAAGAAAGATATCAGCATATAGTTGAACTGTTTTTTTCTAAAGCCAATATGGGTACTTTTGCTTTTTTTCCATTCTTGCTTTTAAAGAATAAAATAAAAGATATGGTACATATAGTTTGTTTCACTCACATAATTTTGCATGGGTTCTGATGCTTGGTTTCAGTAAATCTGTTCCCATAAAATACTCACTTTCAGTACAGTCTTTTAATAATGCTTCAGTGATTTTAAACCGTAAAGAACTTCCCAGTCCAGACAGTTTGCCTGCAATCCTCATGCTCTCAGTTGTTCCTTGCCCTTTCACCATCAGAGCTTCGATTACTGTCAGATTATTTCTGTTGAGAAAAAAGAATCTGCATGAAATTATACACTCTGTCTTTTATCTAACCTTACATTACCCATGACAGATAATACTATAATAGATAAAAGACATCCCCTTACTTTCCTCAAATTATTAACATCCAAAACAACATATGTGTTCAAAGAAATGTGCGTGATTTTGTTTCACCATGTTTTCTGAACAATAGCACCTACTGTAGGACAAGGAACTTCTGAAAATGTACAGGTCTCAGAGAAGCTTGTGATACTACACTGGGGCCTATTACCCTAAGAAATCTCTTAAAACTGCCACTGGTTATCAGAAATCCTATCTGCTGCTACATAGTGTCAAGTCACTTCTGGCTTATGGTGACCCTATGAATCAGTTGCCACAAAACTGTCACTAACTGTGGCCCAGGTATTGCAAAATAAAGCCCATAGCTTCTTTTCTTGAGTCCATGCATCTCATGTTTGATCTTTTCCCTTTCACCCTGCCTTGACATTTTCCTAGCACAATTGTCTTTTCCAGTAAGCTGTTTTCTCACATTATGTCTGAAATGCAATGACACATCTTTAAAAACTTCTTTTGACTCCAGCCCAAATGCTACTAAACATCACTATCCATTTTAATCACATTAAGCTTTTAATAAACCTAATGTTTTCTCACAAAAATAAAAAAGGTTATGACAGAATTGATATGATTCAGAAAAAAACAATTAGTCAAAAGTGAGGTGATATTTTTTTCTCTGTTCTATAATTCTCTCTAAGCTGTGTGCATGCACAGAGCTCTATCAAGGCTGTGCATGAGGAGCCAGAGTTTGCACCGGTTACGTTCCAGTTTTCGCTGGAACCTTGCCCGTGAACACAGGGTCAGGCTCCCATGCAGCAGGGTCAAAAATCAAAGGGAACATTGGTGGCCATTGTGGCAGAACTTGTGCCAGCACGTTTGCTGTAGACGGGACCCATGGCTATTGCTAAAACTAGTAAGTCTGGCTGCATAGAGACTATGAAGAGAAAAATGGTACTTCCACTTGTAGTCATACACTTATCAATGTACAGTGGTGCCCCAAAAAGCGACGATAATCCGTTCCGGATAAATCGTTGCTATCCGGATTCGTCGCTATACGGGGCAAAAAAACCCATAGGAACGCATTAAACCCTGTTTAATGCATTCCTATGGGGGAAAAACTCACCGTTATGCGAAGATACTCCATAGGGGGAGCCATTTTTGGTGCCTCTAAAGCGAGGCAACCCAGCGGGCGGCCATTTTGGAACCGCCGATCAGCTGTGCGAAAATGGGGCCTTTGGGAGGACTGCGGGGGGAGGGAACCTTCCGAAGCCACCTCTGGCATTTTCGCCCAGCTGAGCAGCGGTGGCTTCGGAAGGACCGCGGGGGAACCCTCCCCTGCGGTCCTTCCAAAGCCACCTCCGGCATTTTTGCCCAGCTGAGCGGCGGCGGCTTCGGAAGCTCCCGCCGGTCAGCTGGGGGAAAATGCCGGCTAGGGCTTTGCGAGGACTGCAGGAGAGGCCTGCCCGCGGTCCTTCCCAAGCCCCCGCCGGTCAGCTGGGGGAAAATGGGGCTATGGGGAAAAATCACAAAGCGATTTTTCCCCATAAGCAACATCACAATGCGATTGCAAAAGCGATTGCAAAAAAGCCATCGCTATGTAGATTCGTCGTTAAACGGGATGCCCGTTAAGCGAGGCACCACTGTACATTTGTCCAATCATAGTAACTTGAAAAGAATTGCCATAGCCAAAAAATTCAGTGTGAAGTAGTCCAGTTATCATGTTGATGTACTTGTTCATACATTATTTCCCTCTATACAGTAATACAAATATAAATTAAATATAATTCTAAACACACTGCTATCACATTTCTGACTCAGAACGTATCACCCTATGATTGAGTAAGTTGAATTAAGAGTTTGTGGCAGCAGTAATGAGGTTACTGACAGTGTAGCCAGCTATGTGGCCTGGCCACACGTCTCATTTGGATGAACATATACATACATAAGATATATTTTGCTACACTGCATCTTGAAAATTACCAGACAATATGTATTGTGGATACCAGAAAAGTGTAGCACTGCATTCAAATCATATACTTCTACTTAGTCAATTTAGAAAACATACTGTACCTGATAATTATTAATGATGAAACTGTTTTATTAAGGATTGGAGTAAATTTTACTTTTACTGATTTTCTTTCTCCAGGCTTTAAAATTACATTTAAAACTGATTGCCGCGACAACCCTTCTGTAAATCCTGTAGAGCTCTGCAATCCCTGACCCTTGATGGAGAAAAGTAAATCAAATGTGGAAGTTAGGAAGTCTGTACCTGGACGGAAGTTTAATAAAATGTGGCATATTAACTTGCATTTTAAACATAAGAAAAGCAACAGTACACATCTTATTGGGGAGGGGAATTTGCAGGACTCCACCTCTCATTAGTTCCAGACATATTATCCAACAAAGCAACAATTTTTGTGTGTAGGGAGGGGCTAAGACGGCAGAGAGCAGTCTTTCTGTGAAACAGTTTGCTTCCTCCTAGACAAAGTTGGAGAGGGCCCAATGTCTGGATTATTAGCTTTCAACAGGTAAGAAGAAAAGTAAAAATAACCCGAGGATTTATTACTTTAGTCTAGCTCTTTGTAGGGAGATAAAGAGCCTAAATCCCAACACAAGATAAAGATCACAATTCAAATTGTATCCAATGGTGCAAGTGGAATACAGAAAAAGCAATTCCACACACTACAATGTTCCACTCCACACCAGAAGATGTGCCCAAATAGCTCTGGACAGATGTTCACTACAAGCCTTGGCTGTGGCTTAGACTGGATAAAATATCAAACCATGTTTGGACATACATGTACACACAAAAGCCTCCTTCTCATTCCTGCACATGCTCCATTTCAATGAAGAACTTCTTTTTATTACAAATCATAATTTACTATTCAACCTCAGCAGCCAACCACAGTTTGTGCCTTTTCTTTAAACAAGGATTACAGACTATGGTCTGCTGGACAGGGACAAACCACAGGGTTTAATACAGACACCACATTTTGTAAACAGAAGGGCTCCTCTCCGGCATTTCTTTCAGCACAGTGATCCTATTGGGGGAAGGGAAGGGAAGGGAAGAATACCCCTGGTCCACAGGTGCCTGCATTCTCCGAAAACTCTGGATCTTGCTTGCTTCAGGCTGTATCATGAATTAATAGTGGAATTAGGAGTGCAAGCAGGGATTCCATATATTTATATCACATCACTTCAAGATTATGTTTTGGGTAAAACGTATCGGAATCAGGTTTAAGAACAAAGATTACTTACACAGTTCCTAGATACCTGAAATTCTAGAGACCTCAAATTGAAGTTTGCTGGCTTACTCAAGTTGAATCTAAAGGAGAAACACAGATGCATTTATGAATTTGGAGAAATGTGCTGCATAAACAAATTCTATTCATATTCCATGTATTTCTGTCTTAGAACTATTTGTGCTTTTGTGGGGAAATGCTCCTGTTTCACTTACTAAACGTACCTTGGAAATACTAAGTGTAACACAGAAAAAACAAGACAAGGTACATGATATGACACAGCAGACATATTTCAAAGGTAGGTCATCAGTCAGGTGGAATGTGGTGTGTAAGGAGCCTATTTTAAGAATAACCCAGGAATATTTGTGCTGAACCTTGAATATCAGTTTATCTCCTCACTATGACTTACCGGTCTAGCAACTTGTCTACAAAGACTGAGGGATTGGAATACAGTGATATTGGAAGAAACTGAACAAAAACAGGAACATCTGCAGGATTTTCTAGTAGAATTTCTTCTTCCTAATGGAAGAAGTTCAGATTCAGATTTATTGTTCCAAAATAATAAATACAGGAAATCATATTCCAAGAATAAGGTTTGTTTTGTTGCTACTACATTAACTATGTCTGAACTCACAGATGAACTGTTTGTGTTGGTAAGTGAAAAATCCAAATGTCGTGATGAGACAAGTAAAGAGGGCCAGGCCAATTCTGCTGTGATTCTGGATGCAACAGCTTTCTGAAGATCTGTGTCCACTTCAAATATTGCATTTAACCTGAGGACAAATATAAGTAAGTATTAAGAAAATGTTTACAGCTCTGGAAAAAACTAATTTCATGAGATTTGCATATACAGTGGTGCCTCGCTTAACGAGCGCCTCGTATAGCGACGAATCCGCATAGCGATCCCTTTTCCGGGATCGCTAATGCGGAGGCATAGGGTCAGCCCCAATGGGCGAAACTCACATAGCAAAGATCGGTAAGCGTTTCGCTTACCGATCTTCGCTTTGCGACGCGCGAAAATCAGCTGTTCAGCGGCTCCAAAATGGCCGCCGGGCGCCCGAAATGGCCGCGTCCAGCGTTTTTGCGCCCTCCCCTCGCTTACCGAGGGTGCGAAAATGGCTGCCGGACCCTGGAAACTTTGCTAAATGGTGAGTTTTGTGCTGATTTGGAACACATTAAATGATGTTTAATGCGTTCCAATGGCTTTTTACTTTCCGCTTAGCGAAGTTTTCACATAGCGAAGGTTAATCCGGAACGGATTAACCTTGCTATGCGAGGCACCACTGTATGTAGAACTACAGCTGGCTAGTTTCGCACAGCTACATTAGAAGTTTTTAAAGAGAAATTTGACTCTGCATCCATACTTTCTGTGGAGAATGAGTAACAGCCAAAAAAAGGAAAAAGAAAAAAAGTACAACATTAATAATTTGGCTGCAATGATCCTACAAAATAATGCCATTGTCACGAGTACAGAAACAGTTAATATTATTAGAGTATTCATGGGTATAAAGAGGTTATTAGATTGAATTGATCTGCTGTCCATATGTGCAAATACATATTTGTATGAAAGGACCACCATTAACTGCCTTCCTCACCATACTATACCACTGTTGCAAATCCTTCTAAGATTATGAAACCTAAGGGATCCTGTGCTTAAACCGCAGAAGCCTCTGTGCTTCAAGGTCAGAAGACCTGCAGTTGTAAGATCGAATCCACGCAACGGAGTGAGCTCTCATCGCTAGTCCCAGCTCCCGCCAACCTAACAGTTCGAAAGCATGTAAAAATGCAAGTAGATAAATAGGTACCACCATGGTGGGAAGGTAATGCTGTTCTGTGTTTAGTCGTGCAGGCCATGTGACCATGAAAGATTGTCTTCGGACAAACGCTAGCTCTATGGGCTGGAAACGGAGATGAGCACTGCCCCCTAGAGTCGGACACGACTGGACAAATTGTCAAGGGGAACCTTTACCTTTACCTTACTGCAATTCAGATATTTATGGTAGCATATGACCTATTTTAGCAAGCAAAAATTTATTATTCAAACTACACACCTCACATTTGACTATCTGAACAATTTTAAGTGGAATATAAAAGGGGAAGAATAACACTTGTGAAGGAATAAACCTGAGTAGGAACGTGTGTTCCTCCAAATGCTGTTGAACTACAACTCTAATCAATTCTGAACACTGACCAAACTGGCCAGGATGGATCATAGCTGAAGTACAACAACTTTGAGAGGGCTACATGTTCACCTCTCTGGTAGAAACAAAGTCAACTTCTGCTGTTATCTCAAGCTTCTTTATAAACTTGCTAGCTGCATTTGGGAAATTCTGAATTACACCACTATTTAATGTTAAGAAATGCTTATTGTCTGAAATTTCCATATTTCTTCAAAGATCAATTATTAACTAGAAAGCTCTTATTTTTTAAAACAACCTTACCGACTTCCTGAATGATCTTTTATTCCAATCCATTCTTTGAATAAATTATCATGTAAGTCCCAATCTGAATCCCATGCATCCTCTTGCATAGATATACTGTGTTGTAACTTTGATTCAGCTAGAAAAAGAGATAATCATAACATCATTTAAACATCTGCAATATTTAGAAAACTGTGTTTCACATTTGAAACTAAAACTACTTACATTTGCTCAGAAAAGGTAATCCCACATAACAATGATTTCCACATTGTAAACCAGGATCAAAATAAATATTTGCTACCTGAAAAATAAATGCAACAAGACAAAGAATAATAAAATAAACACTTCTTGAGACAGAAAAACTGTGAGAGATAATTACTTAGAGGGGAACTGTAAGATGCTCAAATGTCAGATGTGGCAACTGTGATCCTCTCCCCACCCCATTCTACACACAGAAAGCTTCATCGGCATACCCATCAGAAATGTATCTGGAAAGAGAATGCTTTGAATCCTGATACCTTAGTTTCTTCAATAAGTCCTCAAGTATGCCAGCCCTATTATTTCCCTTTCACTGATCAAAAACACGAGGTGAAAAATGACAAGTAATGGTGAGGATAAAGAGAATTAAAAACCATTTTAGTTCAGTGAATGAGCAGGACTTAGAAACTGTTGATAGATCTCCCATGGAATTCTCCACACTGTACTGCCCATATCAGGTGAACTGCATGATGTGCAAACCTTTGATTTTTTTCCTGGTTCCAAATCTTCCTTGTTACTTCGTAATCTTTTGTAATAAAACCGAATATCTTCTGACAGTGAGCGGATTTGCTGTATTTTCACCTTCTGTGAGAAAGAGCTCATAATACTTAAACTCTGATGAACTATCTTGCCCTAAAAAAAGGAAAAATACTGATTTGTTTTCTATATATATAATTGTGCCCGTGACTACAGACATCTAAGAAAACCTATGAATACAAACTAACAAAATTTAAGTCTGAGTGTTCACTTACCTAAAAAAACAGTATTTTCTTCTAACTACCTTATTCTGTTCAATTTACATTCGCAAAACACTACTCTCTTCAAGGAATTCCCATTCAAATGCCTCAAAAATCAACCAGCAAGTGTTTTGTTTTCTAATTTTGTTTTCAATGAGCTCAAAAACTGACTATCCTTTATTTATTGTGATACAAATTTCATACATCTGTAACAGGTAATTGCTGTAGATGGTCTTAACTACTCTAAAAAATTGAACTGAGTAGAGAATAAGGATTACTGCCTATATATCTACACTTTTTACACCAACAAGTCTATGTAACATAGCAGCCAAACGCCTCTGGGGAAAAAAATCATGTCTCATGTTTCAACAGCAGTTGCTCACAAATTTAAATATCTGAACTGTTGGAGTTAACACATGCCAGCATTAAGACCAATTCAATTACCCTGTGAATAAGTAGCAATGATAAAGGTTGATGGAACATCTTAAGCTCAATGAAAACCAAGACAAATTCAGATCAAATGGCTTTGGTGATGGCATGAAGCACCAAGCAAAATCTTCTAGTGTGGTGAACATTTTTTTTTCTGTGAAGTCACTTCCCTCGCCAAAAGTAATGTTAAAAAAGCAAGAAGAACAATAGGATATGTTTTCATTAAGTTTTCTTACGGGAAAGGAAGGTGGAAGAAGAATGTGTTTCGGGGAGCATGTCAATGAGCCTACAGCAATTATAGCCTTCACAGGAATTGTTAAGATCTGCAGAGAAAGGAAAAAAACAGCTTAAATATTCACATTTTATTTAACTAATATCATTTTGTTTTTGCTCATAGTGCACTTCTACAAATATATATTTTTATTTTTTTAAAAATAGCATATTTTATAAGATGAGCAGAGAACTACAAACTTGCCCAAAATTTTCAGACAAAGCATCTGCAAGCCTCATTCTGCTGAGAATGAGAAGTATGATCAGAGTAATAAAGGTAATTATGAATGAAAAAATACATTGTCTGGCTTCTATAATCAAATTTATGTCAAGAAGTGATAAACAAGCCTAACTATTTCTGTTTTTATAACATTTTAAAAACTTTTGTCACATATTACTGCTGAAGTAGTTTGCCGTCATTTACGCCTTCAAACTGAGTGTAGAACATGTCACATTACTATCATTTAGTTCTTACAAAACAAGCATCACTCACAGAATTCCTTGCATGCTACAGGTAGATATTCTCAAACACACTGGCAAATATCAAACATATTAGCCAATAGTATACACACATACAAGTTCAAAATTACTATAATAGGTAACATTTATCTGTTTGTTGCAACCTCCTTTCTTACTTTTACACACATTATTTTTAGGACCAACACAGTTCAAAAGTACCTCATAATCTGTTGTGATTTGTACAGCCCCATCATGAATCCCTTCAAGTTCTTTTGGCAATAACTGTACTCTGAATACAGTGTATGAACCAGGCATTAATGTTACCTATAATAGAAACATATTTACGGTATTTCCTTTGCATAAATCTCACATTTTCCCAACACACAGAGAGAAAATTGATTACATCAGCTATTAACTGAAATTCATATTACATCTTTCTTTTATGCATTAAATGCTTTCCAATCATTCCTTACTTTAATGAGTTACTGTCTTGCAGAGGCAGGTCCCCACTATTAGTTCATTAAAAATACATCTATATGGGTGGAAAAGCCAAGACTACATATAAGTGCTTCTCACATTATAGAAAAATAGATGCATGTTTACACACTGTTACATCTTACTGTCTTAATTTTTACTTAGGAATAGGAGTTCATCTTTTGTCTATATGTTACACACAACTAGACATCAAGAAAAAGCATGACTTACTGAAGTTTGATCCAACGCACTGGCTTTTTCCAAATCTGGAAGACTTGCAATAATTGTAGTTCTGTTACCTTTTTCAGCAGCTAGGAGTTCTATGGTCAAACCATCACCTATGACATGCCAGCTTTTTATAGCAAGCTTGAAAAGGACAGAATAGTTTTAGTAACAGACTCTTATTATTTAAGAAAATGCAAAAAAAAAAAAAGAAAAAAAAAGCATGTACCTTACCTGAATTGGATTGCTGTTTATGATTGCTAACAGAATGCTACTAGTTTCTGTAGCACTCAGTATACCAAAATCTATTATCTGTTCATCATGTTTTGGGGATAACACAAAATACTAGAAAAAGAGAAGAGCATTAACTGCATTAAAATTTCTCATATAATCAGACATATCATCACTTTTTCTAACAAACTGACTCCACCCCACAATCCACTCCACACTAGTTACGATGGTTCTTTAAGAACAAGATACATCAGGGACTACAACACACACTGTAAAAGAAAGCGGGGGCTGTATCAGTGCCAAACTTGCCACCACCATAGTTTAGGCCACAATTCAGCTGCAATTGCTAGAATAGGCAATATCTGAAAGGATTTACTTTTAAACCAATCTAGCTGGCAACTAGGGGCTACCCTACTATCAGGCAAGAAAAGGTGCTACTTCAGGGAACTGGCCTTGGAGGTCATAAAAGATGACAGAGTAAAGGCCATTTAGATTGCCAAGCTGAACATCAAAATGTCAGCCCTTAGACAGTAAGGATGACTGAGATGTAGGGAGGAAAATCATTTAAATTTTGGGCTTAGTTCTGGTAAAGGCATTTTGAACCAATTTCACATAGGTTCAGATACAAAAATATTAATGGTAAACTGTTAAAATGCAATGCAATTCCTATAAAATACATGTAATAGTATATTTATTCAACACTCTTTGTATTCATGTAAGACAGACCTATAATAATTTTTAAAGAACAGAATTATTTTCATTTATAAGACTAATCTCACGCTGGCCAACTTTGGTGGGCCAAAGGCTTATTCTCATTCTGCCCTGGCTCTGTCACAGGCTGCCTCACAGGCATCAACAATCAAAATTGCAAGAGACAACAAGCCACTTGCTAAAGTAATAACTGAAAAAAAAATCCAGTAAAGGAATAAAGAAAATGTGTGGCTCTTATTTTGAGACGACCCAAGCAGATAGCAGAATAAATCCAGAAAGATTTTTTTGACCAAAATACAGATACAGTCAGTAGTATAAGGGAACAGTCAACTGTATTCACTTTGGTAAATCTTGACTCTTAGAAGTCTTGTACTGAGAAACAGCTCTATGTTATAATCTGTACTAGTAAACTATTGCAATAATTCTTTCTCTGTGTGTGTGTGTATGTATATATGTTTTAAAAAATAAATTGACTTTTTTTACTTCAATAAAGAAAAACAATTTGGAGTTAAAAGACACAAGGGAGGTACAAGATAAAACATACAGTGGTGCCTTGCATAGCGACGATAATCAGTGCAGCAAAAATCGCTGCAAAGCGATTTCGTCGCTATGTGATATTAAAAAGCCCATAGGAATGCACTGAAACCCCTTCAATGCGTTCCTATGGGCTTCAGACTCACCTTTAAGCGAAAATCCTCCATACGGTGGCCATTTTCGCTGGCCGGTAAGCGAGGAATCCGTCCCAGAAAACAGCAGGCGGTCATTTTTTAACCCGGCAGCCATTTTGGAACTGCCAATCAGCTGTTAAAAAATCATCGCTTTGCGATGATCGGTAAGCGAAACAGGGTACCGATCATCACAAAGCGATTTTTCCCCATAGGGAACATTGCAAAGCGATCGCAAAAGGTTAATCACTATGCGCTTTCGTCGTTAAACAGGGCGCCTGTTAAGCGAGGCACCACTGTACTTCCCACCAACCCACCCTTTTCTTTTGTGACTTTCCAAGAACTATAACGCTACTTGTCACGTATTTAGGTATCCAGGTTTGGATTTGATTTGAAAGCAATTTAATAATGAATTTGGATTGAGTTTCTTACTTGAATATATATAATGGAAAAATACAAAGAAATTCTATTCTACATATTTTACTTTTAAAATGGGAAAATGGGAGATACTTACATCTAAAAATCCAGTGTAAACTCTCACAGGTAGATGAAATTTGGAGGCATTAGTAATGAGTAAAATATTGTCATCAATGTGAAGAGATGACAAAGAAGCCACAAAATAAAGTGTGAAAATATATCTGGATTCATTTGGTGGAATTAAGACTGGTTTGCTGAAGTTGTGAACCTAATTGAATAAATAAGACCCAAGTTAATAGTGCGTACAAGTTCAATAATACTGAGTAGCACAGAAATGTTTTGTAAAGTCAATGAGCTTACTTTAAATATTGCTTTGAGTTCTTCTGGTAGAACTATATCATGAACAAAGACTGCAAAATTGAATGTATTTGTTAAATAGATTGGTCTTTCCACAGAGTCTGCTGGACTGTCATGTATATGAAACAAGGTAGCTGCATGATCAAATCCTAGGTATCTATTAAAAAACAAGAAAAATAACGCTTTGCATGATTATGTATAATAAAAACCAGTATACAATACATTACTCAATACAGTATCCTCCTTAACAAAGCTAGCTAAGCAATACATCAAGAGACATCATTTTTCTGGATTATTTACCAATTTATCAACCCTTTTTATACTTACAGAAAAGTGGCACACATCCATTCCTGATTTCAGCCATAACTTACCGGTAAGTTCAACTTGACCCAACAGAAACTGGTCTGTCCCTGTGTTCCAGGAGAGGGCAATATAGGTGGGTATGGTATTCAAATTTTTACTAGCATTCACCATGGGTTGCATAAGCCCAGGAGTAAATAAATAAAGAGGGCGGGGCGGGCAGGCAGAAACATGCAAATAGTCATGGCCACTTGTTTTGAATTGAAGGAGGCCCTCTAACTGCTCTCTGTCCCATCAACATATATTGAAAAAATTAGAAATATAATCCATTAAAATTTGCCCACTATTTTTTACAAGCATATTCTTTTGTTTCCTCCTAAGTTTGGTACTTTGCAATATTTGTAGTTCCTGTACTTCTGAAGTTAATTGTTGACTGAACTGCAACTTCTGTCAGATATGCTTTTCTTTGCTGCTTATCCAGAAACACAAAATTCAGCCTATTAAAATCAATTGTTTTATCTTTGATAACTTGCTTGACCCAGTGTAGTATTGTAGCTTGTTTTCTAAAACTGAAGATGGCTAGAATTTATAATATGGAGAAAAAGATGTAAGTAATCCGTAAGAATTAGCAAACTGCTGAAAAATGATCTTCGTAACCTGATTATGTCCACAGATATAATCTATGGGTGCTAGCTTAGAGCATTGAGCTATGATATGAATTCTTTGTTTAGATCACTGTACGTCTACCAGCTCACAATTCCAAAAGAATACATTAATACTTTGGGTGCCCAGCTATTAATACCAGTAATTTTTTATTTTGCATTGCTTCTCTACTGAATAATATTTTCACTCTAAAAACATTTGCTCCTCAATAATGACTTACATTCCCTGTAGTTTATATAGAGAAGTGAATAAACTGCACATTAGTGAGCACAGTTACTGCCCTTTGAAAATCTGCCTCTTTTCAACTATTCAATTTATCAGGAGAGCTTGCAAATAATTTAAAATTGTTGATATATACACTAAGTGTGAAACATCAACATTTCTTTGATGATTAGGCTTGTAGCCTTTAGCATAACCATTGAACCATCAGTTTTTTTAAACTTTTAACCTTTATTGCATTTAAAAAATAAATTATAAAAATAAGTAAATAAGTATCACAATGTTAGCACATAACCGCAGTAACGTTCTATTATGTCTTTTGCAAAACAGCAAGTCCTTAACATTTTTACTTCCTTATTTTCCACCAGACATTTATTATCTTCGCAATCTTAATAATACCTTTCTTAATTCTTATTTTATATCCATATTAACAATTTGCTTTACTTTGTTTTACTTCTGTTGAGAGCAGTTCTGCTTCTAATTTAAGCCTAAGTCACTTGGTACAGGTTTGGAATCTTTCTTCCATTTCTCTCTTGAGATAATTCTTTACTTCCCCCCATTGAGATTCGTGCTCAGTTCTACTCTTCCCTTTCAATGAATCTGATAGTCCATTAATATTTGTTCCTGTAATTTTATTAAACAATCCTCCACTGAAGGTTCCTCCTTGTCTTTCCATTGTTTTGCCACTTGAATTCTGAATGCGCCTAATATGTATAAACAATTTTTGTCTCTTGTCTCGAGTTTAGCTTTACCATATTGAACAAATAAGTTTCAGGTTTCATCTCCATTTTTATTTTTAAATCTATGGTGATTATTTTTTCTATCTCTTTCCAGAATGTCCTAATAAATTTACAAGCCCACCACATATGATATAGTGTTCCTTTTATTGTCTTGCATCTCCAACATTTATTAAACCTGCTCGTTCTCCAAAGTCACTGATAATTTCTCTAAGTTTCGTAATACTACCTGATGTGTCTTCCAGAAAGATTACCATGTCATCCGTGAAGGCTCTTACTTTAAAGTGTTGCTCCTCAATTTTTAAACCTTTAATTTGTTCCTCTTTACTTATTTTCCTTAGTAGTACCTCCAATTGTTATGAACAACAGGGGTGAGAGTGGACATCCTTGGGGTGTTCCTTTCAAATCTGACATTGATTAGTTTTCTCTCAGATTAGTATTATTCTCACATTTTGCTTGCTTTTTATCCATTTTTAAAAATTATCTCCTACTTCTATTGTGTCTAGAACTTCCAACATAAATTCCAAATTAATATTAACTTCTACTCCGGATGTTGTTCATAAAATTCCAACACGTCTATTTCCAATCTTAAATTTTGTTTCATGTGCAGTAAGAATCCTGTTTGATCTTTCCCAAAACATTCCTTTAATACCTTCCTGAATCTCTCTGCTAATATTTCAGCTAATATTTTATAATCTACATTTAACAGTGATATGGGTCTATAATTTTTTGGATCCTTTGGATCTCTATTTTCTTTGGAGATAATTATGATGTTAGTTTCTCTCCATGTTTCTGGGTATCCTTCCAGTAAAATCTGGTTTACTGTTACTTTTTTCCGTACTGGGTAAGCTAACTATTTACTTGGTTTATTTCCTTGTTCGTAGAATTTTTGTTTAGTAAAGTTTATTTTTTCTCTCTCTCTCCTAGCATGAGTTCCAACAGCTGATTCTGTAGATTTTTAAAATCTCTTTTAAAATTTCTTTTTTTCCTGGAATTTTCGGTAATCTCTAGTTCTTTCTCCCTTTTTTCTTTAAAAGTTTTTCTTACCTTTGTTTTCTCTTTTCAATTACTTCCCAGTGTTTTTCATTATTAATTCACATAGGACTGATTTTCCTGCCTCCCAAACTGTTTTTATTTTTGTCTCCTTGTTCATATTTTGTTTAAAGTATTCCTTCAATTCAATCCTCAACCATTCTAAAATTTCTTCCTCTTTTAGTAAGTTTTCATTCAATCTCCATGAGTATTCTTTTCTTTACTTTTTCATAACCAATCTTATAGGATTACAATCTGTGCATGGTTTTGGTAGGATTTTTACTTCTTGTATCCAATTAAGGAATATGTTATTTGTTAGAATCAGATCAATTCTTGATAATAATTTATGTCTACCTGAATAAAATGTGTATTCTCTGGTATCTCCATGTTTTTTCTCCAAATATCCTCTAATGTGAAAACATCCAACATGTCAAAAAAAACTTTTGGGTAGTTTCCCCTGATTCTCTTTTATTTTATTTTCTGATTTCCAATCAGCTTTAGGATTTATTACTCCATTGAGCCATCTGTTGTTGTTACATGCCATCAAGTCACCTCTGACTTACAGTGGCCCTATGAATACGCAATCTCCCAAATTTCCTGTTCTCAGCCGCCCTGCTGAGCTCTTGTAAACTCAAGCATGTTGCTTCCTTCAGGGAGCCAGTCCATCTCGTATTTGATCTTCTTCTTCCTGCTGCCTTCGACCTTTCCTAACATTATTGTCTTTTCCAGAGAATCCTGCCTTCTCATGATGTGCCCAAAGTAGGACAGCCACAGTTCTAACATGTTTGCTTCTAGAGATAGTTCAGTCTTGATTTGATCTAGAACCCACTTGTTTGTTTTTCTGGCATTTCAGGATATCCACAAAGCTCTCCTGCAGTATCATATTTTGAATGAATCAGTTTTTTTCCTGTAAGCTTTCTTAACTGTACAACTTTCACACCCATACATGGTAATCGGTGGTAATTGGAAATACAAGAATGTGGAAGATCTAGGTCTTGGTCGCCGGTCAAACTTTCTGACACTTGATCATCTTTTCTAATTCCTTCAAAAAATACTAAAAGAATTAAGCCACCAGGACAGGGGATTTTAAGCATGGCATAACCACAAAGGGCTTCAAAGAATCACCCTGAAAAATATATCATTTAATAACAATATTATTAGAGAGAAGGTCTCTGCACTTTCATGTTATTGTGTATTTTGTCATTGGATAGCAAAGTAATAATTTTATTATATGTTTTGAATATCCTCAAACTTTCAAGAAATCATGAGTGGAGCACAAAATCAAATTCCTTTTTTTGTAATTTTACCCATTAAAGCAAAAGTTAGAACCACCACTTCAGAATAGTTAGCATACAGTTGCCTTATTTAAACAAAAGTATTTGCTATGAAGGGTAGTGTTAAACTCTCTGTCTCCCCCTCAGGCCTTTATGTCCAAGAACGAAAGGACAGAAGTTCTGTGCAGCCTTTATATAGTACCAAGATGTTACACAAGCTAGGATATTATCCTTTCTGAAATAATTTCTACTTCCTACAAGCAGGTATATGAGCGGGTAGTTATATATCTATGAAAATGATGTACAAGTTAATAAAATGTAAGGTAAAGTTTTAATATACTGTATTTCAATGCAAGCTTACCCATCTAATACTTCTGCTTGATATGGAATTTCAAGTTTTGAGTAACTCTTCTCCTTTGCTTTAACTGTTATTTTTCCTGAAAACTGTGAAGGTCGTTTTGCTTTTGATGCTGTATTTATATACATACACAAACACATGGATAAAAAGAAACAGTGTTACTATACAGAAACAAATACAACACCCTAGTGAAACTATCCACATTTTAAAAATGATTTTCAATAGTGTTTACTGAATGTAAGCATGTTGCTCTATAATACATAGAACATAAGGGAACAATAGAACAGTGTACAATTGCTATCAATAGTAATCACATAATATTGTCACAACAAATTTAATATGTGGGAAGGATTCAAGAAGGAATTTAGTAAAACTAAAATAATTAAAGTTCTGGTTGATCAAGAACCACGATATTCCATTTTGATAACTTAAATGTTTTATAAAAAAAAGGTAATATTTTAATATGCAACCATGGTTTGGTTCAAATAGTGGAGTACAATTCTTCTTTAAGGTAATACTTGCATTGTAAAATGTCTTTAAAAAAGTGGGGTAGGAAATACTCTTTCATTTTATTTCAATAGAAAAAGGAGATAGGATCATCAGTGAAATAATTCTCTCTCTACTCTCCATGCATTGGTGCTAAATAGTAAGAATAAACATTAAGATTTCTACAAAATTTGCTGAAGTGGAACCAAAAGGGAATGATACTTTTTAAAAAGTGGTTGAAATCCTATCAGTGGAGCTGTGCAAGAAACAAAGATGTCATAATCACCTGTGACTATGCCACAGATGTTTGAGAGCAATAAACTTCCTGGAAGCCCCTAGCCAACCTCTGGAGGTCCTTTGACCTGGGGCAGCCTTCAGGGCCCTTAGAATGGGAAGAGGAATACTTTAAAACAGGGGTCCCCAACCCCCGCTCCGCGGCCTGGTGCCGGTCCATGGCCTGAGCCAGACCGGGCCACAGAGACAGACGTCCTGCCCTGCCCCCTGCATGCACTCACCCCTGCACAGCTGATTTGCGCATGCGTGCACATGCACGCCCACATAAGTGCAATGCTGCCATTTGCGCATGAGCACATGCGTGCCCGCACAAGTGCCACACCGCCATTTGCGCATGCGCATGACCGTGTGCTTGTTTGTGTGAGAGAGCGTGTGCTTGTTTGCGCATGAGCGTGGGAGGTCCCTGTCTTCCCCAGCCGGTCCATGGGGTGAAAAAGGTTGGGGACCCCTGCTCAAGGAAGCTTTTTGTTGCCCTGAAACGGCTACAGCATAGTTGCAGAAGGTGACATAATCCTCGCTGTACAGTGTAAAGTGCAAACAAGACTTCAACCAGTGTTTCCATGCATGTGTACAAATACATACACAACCACGTTTCTATTATTGAAATTATTGTAACTATTAACTTGTCATGTTCCCATGTGGCTCCTGCTTGTTTCACTAAACTAAGAGTTCATGCTACGGGTCTTTCAGCTACCACCAGTTGATTACATCAGCATTGTTTATTATTAGTAATAGAAGTCCCGTCAAGGTGTCATTTTTAAAAGAATCAAATAGAAATTGTTTATTGTTACAGATGATGATGGTTCGAGCAATGTTGTTAACTCTTAACATCCTCCTTTATCCACTCTCAACCACCTCTCCCGCCCAAACTCCAAAACTCTCTCAACTCTCCTTTTCCCCCTCTTCCTGCTGAGTCTCATGTCTCGTGACTCCATCCCTCCAGCACCATTGGTCTATGCAGATATCACATTAATATTCATGACCTGGGCAGACACCACAACTACTAACTACTAATTTTAAAAGAAAAGCAAGTATAGATGCAAAAGTTGCTAATTAGCTCAGCCATATTAACTTAAAAAAATCATCTCCTGTATGAGGGTTGTATCTTTTTCAAAACAAGTTGTGCTTGGTTGTGAAAAGTAAGTGTTTGGCAACAATACTACTTACCATCAAAACTAATACTTGCAACTTTGGTATATTTACTTTCAGAAGCTCGCAATGTAATTGGCTTGAAATGTACCGTGATAGCTTCATTTTGTGGTGTTGGTCTAACACTCTGAAAAACAGAACAGTTATTTAACAGCATATCAACTGATAAACAAGCTACTCTAAAACTGTCGTGTTCTGTATGAAATAATGATCTGAAAATGTACTCAAGCTTCTTGGAACACAGGATAAGGAACATGTGGTCTTTCAAATGTCACTGGATTCCATCTCCCGTTAGCACCAGCCAATCATAAGACACAATGAGATGTGCAATCAAGCAGTAACTGGAGAGCTGTAGACTTCTGAACCATGTTGAAACAGAAGGAACTTGTCATAGAACTGTGAGTAAGGACCAGAGATATGGGTCATATAACTAGTTTTTGTTGTCTTTCTCAGAATCTCACCAGTACTGTCACTCTAAAATTCCATCAGTATAGTCACTCTAGTTATGCACTGGGTTGTAAAACATCTCTTTCCCATATGCTTTGCTGCCACCACCCTCCATGTATACATTTTTGTATCCATTGTTTCCTTGGGGACTAATTTTTCAAATGTACAGGTTTTTCACTGACTATATCTCTCAAACACATAAAAGGCTTCCGATGCCTCGCAAGACAAAAAAATTCATTCCGCATTGCGAAAATTTCATCTTGCGGAGCACGGTTTCCCATAGGAATGCACTGAAATTTAATTTTTAAAAAAATGCAAAAAAAATTGTCTTGCTATGTATGGCCATAGAAAAATTTGTCCTGCGAGTCACCAAAAAATTGCAAACCGCTTTTGTTTTGCAAATTTTTCATTGCGCAAGGCATTCATCTTGTGAGGCATCAATGTATATAGATTTTTCATTGGGCATAATTTTAAAATGTACATATTTTTGTAAAATTGCATGTCAAAACGAATTTTTGACTGCCCATATTTTTCAAGTGTATGCACAGTCTTTCACACATTCTCCCCCATCTAAGCACATCATGCACTTCAGAAATGTACAGACTCCTGAAGCATGCTGCACTGTGCACTACTGTAGTCTTGGGAAACACAAAGTGAAATTGGATTTCTGGAGGACGATGCAAACCTAAAATGAATTCTTCTCCATCCATAAGCAATGTCCCCCTCAAGTACCATTCACAGCCGAAACACAAATACAAAATTCCACATTTACTATGCCTACCTGATGTTACTTTTTCAACTGTAACTTCTTTTATTAGAAAATATGATGGAGTGCTCAATTCTGCCTAAGATTCTGTAGCTGGTTGAAAATGTCTGATCACTTACAGAATTCTTTTCAAATTATAATAATTGAGATTGTACCATACCACAGAGAACATCAACTGTTTTAAGACTTGCATTTGCATCATTTAAATGTTATTTTAATCTTCAATATCTGCAATTCTACACCAGAAGCAAAACTAAACAGCTGAATGCACATAGCACGGCATTATCTATCAGCAACACAAAAGCACAGAAACCGTAGAAACACCTGCACCCATCTCTTTTGCATGTTGTCTAACTGTGGTCAACAAACTTCTCTTAAAGGATGAAAAAACTGGTTAATACTATGATGGAAATCTGTTTCACACTGAAGTTCTAAATGAACAATTTCCACACAGATATATAGATCTCTTGTATACTGTATCACCAAGCAATTGAAAGCTTAAAGTATTATGGACAAACACCAGTGCTGCTTGCCCACAAATAGAAACAGCACAGTTGGGGGGAACAGAGGTTATTTCTTCCTGCTGTTCCTGAAATTTCATGTGGCATCCTCCCATAGCAAACATGCAATGGCATAAGAAGGGAGAGAAGAGGAAGACCTGTTCCAGAAGCAAAACCCAGTTTATGTAATATTAATTTTTTCCTTACAACAAAGAGATCAGCTGTGTTATCATACAGCACTAAAAGTTAAACACTGACAATGCAACTGTGAAGTAGATGTAAAATGTTCTTATGTAGAAACAGAAAGGTTATAAAGAGCTTTATGGCACTTTAATATTAGAAACTATGGTTTATTTTTTAAACATTACACAACATTCCACCAGCTTGCAAAATGGGCAATGAATGTTTTTATTATTGTAATAATTGGCAATAATACCATGTAAGTGTCTTAAATAAATTTCTTTCTTGGAGTATCTGGATTAGATTTCTGCTAAATATAGTCTTGGCCTTTTCTATGACATCGAGTGTGACGTTTGACACCAATTTCTCCCTTGCTTTTAAGCTCTGTTAGAACAAACTCCAGGAGATATCACTCTGCTCCTTTACCACAACCCTATGTTTACAAAATATTTAGAAACTGCTTAATAATATCTGACACTTCCCTAGACCATTCTACATCTAAAATGGTAGCAGAAATCAGAACAAAAGAGTAAAAAACAGCAAAATTTGTAGCATGAGTCAATTATTCTTTTATCAAAAAATTAAAACAAAACGTCAGAGAAAAAAGTTGTAAAATAACACAGCTGAGAGGGTTTGTTGTATCACCCCCTTCTCAGCAATTCAACACATGCTGCCTTTGTTATTAATGGGTAAAGGGACGCTATCAATCAGAAGTATCTCCTGTGTCTTCCTGCTGCAGTGCTGAATTAGTATTTCCATTTTTTGTTCGCTTACAGGAGGCTATCTTTCGGTTACTAACCCAACAATATGAAGTTGGACAGCTACCACTAAACTAAACCATGTTTTTCTCACTGTGTCCCAGAAAGACCAGTATCCATAAGGTCATCAAAGTATGCAACTCTAGAGGCAGAGTTGGTTTCAATTAGTGCTCTTCAGTACAGCTTATGATGTATGAACGATAGTTTACTTTTTGAAAGAAAATACTTAACAAAAACAGCAGAATTTGTTTAAGTCTGAGCCCAGGAAAGCCATAGGCTATCTCTGTACGAGAACAAGTCTTCATTCTGCTAGTGATGTTAGCAAGTTCGAGGGCTGCTGTCTAAAGATGATGAAGAACTTTAAATATACACCTGTGATCCTGAGTAAAAAAACTGCAAGGATGCAAGTTAAAGATGGAAAGCTAGGGGGTTTCAGCTGAGTCTAAATGTGCAATCTTCTCCCATCACTCTATCCACACTGGCTGGAACTCCTCTAACACAGAGGGTGTGCTGACTAAATGTGATGGAAGCTACAGTCCAAAAACATATGGAAGGCTGCTCATTTCCATCACTGCTGTAAAAGGACACTGGCAGAGCATTTCATGAGAAAAGGAAATCTTAACAAGAAAGCATACACTGAGTCAGATTGCAGTGAAGAGCAGGAGGGAGAAGAAGAGGACAAACTAACAGAATTCTGTCTTGAGTGTGTTCGAGTTACTGATGCATAGGAAAACTGAAAATTATCATGAGACTGTGAAATTAAAGAAGCAGTACTTACTGTTATCGGCACGTCCTTTGTTCCTGAATTTAACAAGTGTAGATTTAAAATTTTTGGCAAATCTGTTGGAACCCAATAAAAAAAAAGCCATTAAGATGCAAAAGTGCAAAAAAGGGATAATGTTTTAATCACATTAGCTTCTTGATATTTACTACAATTATCCAATGCTGACAACTGCTAATTGTCCAAGTTTGAGAATGAAAACTAATCAAGACTTTAAGAAAACCATGCTGGCAAATAGACGTAAATGCAATAAAAATGTTTTGAGGCTTGAATTTATAGCAGTTTCTTAATTACGATGGAAATTGTATAAGGCATCACTGGTATGCTCATATATGGTAAGTTTACAATGAAGACAGACAGATATTCCAGATGGGAAATAACAAAAATCAGTTCACATGGACAAGAATTCATTCTAGCCTAATAACTGGCATAGGAGGAGCATTGCTATAGCTATAAAGCCCTATATGGCTTGGGTTCAGGTTATTTGAAGGATTCCATCGCTCCCTATGAGCCTTCTCGGCTCTTAAGACTTTCTGGGGAGGCCCTCCTCTCGGTTCCACCATCTTCCCAAGCTCACTCGTTGGGGACACAAGAGAGGGCCTTTTTCAGTGGCTGCTCCCAGGCTTTGGAATGTGCTGCCCAAAGAAGCAAAGTCCTTCCTCTTTGGGCAGGCCTTTATGTAGTAAGTTATCTCAGGAATGCTGGTTTTTTTAGCTTACAGGTTTTTAATGTTTTTAAATTGTATTTATACTTGCTTGTTTTAATTTTACTGTATGTTTAATTGTTTTTATTGTTATATTTATATAGTGATTTTAAACCTTATTTTACCTGTTGTGAGCCGCCTTGGGTCTCCTGTGGGGAGAATGGCGGCATACAAATAATTGATATAAAAAAATATAAATGTATTGATTATGCATTCACTGGGACAAGATAGTTTTGGAGTGTGCTTATTGGAAGCCCTTTTCATGTTTCAAAAATCCAGTCATTTTATTTTATCTTCAATATTTGTTTTGTTACATATCACAGGTAAAAAGCAGCAAAAATATGGCAAAGTAATACTATACAAAATAGTATGGAAATATATATAAAGATGTTTCCCCATATCCCCAGTTCCTTATATGTAAAATGTACAGAAAAACTTCTAGAAGTTCTTATAAACTCCTTTTAAAAATGAGCCACTTCTACTTATTCTGAAATTATTACTGCACATTCCAATGTAAGACTTACCTTGTGTTCTTAATGTACCAAAATCTAGCATTTCTGTTGATGAATAAATTCCTGGGGCTTTAAGAGAGGAAAGAACAACATGAGTATTTGTTTCTGCTTCAGCAGAAAAATAATATAGAGCTGATTAAACGTGACATTTTTACAAACCTGTTGTGACTTCTACCTCTACTGGAAGAATAATGAATTCTGTGCTATCTGAAGCATTTGTTTTTATTCGAATGAAGGCTGTGTAATTATCTGCTTCTCTTGAAGAAAAACTGGCTCTCATAACTCCTTTTGTTTCATAAGGGGGGATTTCCTATTAAAACAGGCAATTGTACAATATTACAAACTCAACTGAATGAAAGGTCTACAAAACTATTTACAAAAACAGTTGAAATATGCAATGTAGCACAAGCATCTTTAATTAATAAGAAAAGTTAATACAAGAAATTCCCTGGAAAAAGCTGAAATAAAAGTATCCAAAGAACATTTTCATGAACAGATCATCAATAGAACTGCTACTAAGAAGCAATCTGACAAGGGAAAATATTAAGGAGTCAGCACATATTCTGATTTATATTTAATATTTGTTGCATGGAGCCTCGTGGCGCAGTGGTTAAATCGCTGTACTGCAGCTAAAACTGTGCTCACGACCTGGGGTTCAAATCCCAGGTAGCCGGCTCAAGGTTGATTCAGCCTTCTATCCTTCCGAGGTCGGTAAAATGAGTACCCAGCTCGCTGGGGGGGGGGGCAATGTGTAGCCTGCATAATTAAATTGTAAACTGCCCAGAGAATGCTTGAAGCACTATGGGGTGGTATATAAGCAGCACGCTTTGCTTTGCTTTGCAGAAGGCATTAATATATACAATCTAATAATAGTACAGTGGTGCCTCGACTTACAAAATTAATCTGCATTGGAACGGTGGCCATAACTCAAAATTTTTGTAAGTCACAGCACCATTTCCCATAGGAATGCATTGAAAACCGATTAATCTGTTCCGGCCGAAGGAAAAACAAAAACAAAAACAGAAAAAAGAAAAGAAACAGAGCAAGTCGTGACAGCCGCAGTGGGAGGCCTCCCGGGGTTCCCCACCGCCGTGGGAGGCCTCCTGGGGTTCCCCGCCACTCTGACCACCGCTGGAGAAGCACGGCTTCCCCACTGCCATGAGAGGCTTTCTGAGGTTCCCCGCTGCTCTGACTGCTGCCGCCGGGGAAGCCCGGGCTTTCCTGCTACCGTGAGAGGCCTCCTGGGATTCCCCGCCACTCTGACCGCCGGAGTGGCAAGGATCCCCGGGAGGTCTCCCACGGTGGCTGTTAGGGCGGGGGAGGGAACCCTGGGAGCCTCCCATGGCGGCAGGGAAGCCTGGGAGGCTGAGCCCAGCCGGGATGGTCTGGTGGCTCGTCTCCCAGTGGCAGCAGTGGTGGAAGCCCGGGAGGCTGAACCTCCCTTTTCCTAACCATTGGGGTGAAGAAGCAGCCTCTTCACCACCAACAGTTTGAATTTCCTGCCCTTTTCCCCTGCCTTTTTTCCTCCGTAACTTGAAGCTCTGGCCATAAGTTGAAGCAAAATTTTGCTGCTGGAGCTTTTTGTAAATTTAAATTTTCGTAAGTAATTTCAGTAGAGGCCCAACTGTATAAGGAAATCAAAATGTGAAGTTGAGAAATACAGTTGAGAAAAAAATCTTAGGAGAATGGAATTATAATTTATGAACATTTCTCATCACAAAGACAAGAACTAGGATTCAAGATTCCTCTAACATTTGTATGTTACACAAATAATAATCTGTGGTATATCCTGAATTCAAATCTATTTATAACCTGTGATATATTGTGTAGATATAATATGCAGTGAAACTCAGAGCTTTAAATATTAGGTTTGAAAATTAGCTTGGTTAGTGTTGCTAAAACATTTATACTTGTTGAATTAGCATTATTAATTTATTACTTAAATCTTAAACCTGAAGTAAAGAGTAGGATTCACAGGGCTCTTAAACTGTGTTGCCCAAACTGCCCCCCCAGCAGACTACAAATTCTGTAATGGAATTATCAATGGTTAGGATGCAGTATGTCTGAAAACTAAGGTTAGGATTTTCTAAAACATGGGACCTACTCTACAAAGAGAGACCTATGCCCCATCATAACCTTGCCTTTACATATAATTCTTTATACTACCTTCATGGCACAATGCTAGAAAAGCTATTGCAGAAGGCACAGTGAGTGTTGAATGCTCTCTTGAACACTAATTTCAGTCTGCAGCCACCCATTTTCTATCACACCAAGCACCTAAACAGAGCAATCATACAACTGAAAACTACTGACGTCTAATCTCCCTTCAATCATGCAAACGCGTTTAGGAATTTAGACTGAAGCAAAATCAATTTCTTGAGTTAGATTTGGGGAGGGGGAGTGTAAGACTAAGCTTTGACAATTTGCATTATTTATAAGTGGTGAAAAAATTATTGGCTCTGTACAGAACAAAGTTTCCAAAGCTGGGGTTTCAGATGCTTTTGCACTATATGTCCAAGATATTCTGAACACTGTCATGGTTGACTGAGATTTCTAGGAGTTGTAGTCAGAAAAAAAAACTTGCATCCTGATAGCCTTGATTTTGAGGCCGTTCTAGATGGGGGTGATACAATTTCTCTTTACTTATAAGGTTTTGAAATATGAATATATAGAGACCACAAAGGACAATATTTCATTAGAGGTGTGAATGTGTTTTCTCTTTCAGGAGCAAGTGTGCATATATGTGCACTTGGAGACTAGAGCAATTAATAATGATGTTTAATTACTTTTAATGTTACCTCTAAAACATTTTTAGAAACATTACATTTGTTGGTGGCATTTTGCCCCATTTGACCAAAAAATGTAAAAAATACATTATACACTTTTGTTTCTTAGAACAAGAAAGGAAAATATATGATAGGACTCACATGCAGTTCTATGCTATTAAACATGAAATAAAATGACACTGAATGGTTTACTCAGAAGTACAGTGGACCCTTGACTTACAGACGGCTTGACTTAGAGACTTTTTGAGTTACAGACTTCTCTGGCCACAAAATTTAGGTTTGACTTGCAGACTGAGATTTGACTTACAGACCAGAAAAAAACCAAAATGGAACAAAAACGGCCTGTTACGGGATTAATCGGTTTTCAATGCACTGTAAGTCAATGGAGACTTGACTTACAGACTTTTTGACTTGAGAACCGCCTTCCAATACGGATTACGTTCTCAAGTCAAGACCCCACTGTAACAGAAAGTAACTACTATGTGTTCTTCTATACCAGCGATGGCAAACCTATGGCACGCGTGCCACAGCTGGCATGTGGAGCCCTTTCTGCTGGCACAGGAGCCATAGGTTGCCAGATCACTACTCCCCCCGCCCTCCCCCCAAACCTCAGGAGGCATCAGCAGCCGGTACTGGTGCTTCGGCAGGCGGACCCGGAGCAAATGGTGCTGGCAGCAGAGGGGCCTTGAGGCACCTCTCTGCCGGATTTCCCCCTTCTGCCGCCACTTCCGGTTCCACCACTTCCAGGTCTGCCACAGCGGTAGCACACTGTTCCCCCCCCCCCAAGTCTGGGCACACAAGCCCAAAAAGGTTTGTCACCACTGTTATATACTATCAATCTGATTTTTGCCTATTAAATAAAAGCTGTAAGTGGGTTGTCCCCTCCTGTTACAGAAATTTTTAGTTTTGAGTAAGTGTCATATTATACTGCACCTCTACAAAGTGATAGCACATTCTTATTCTACACTGCTGAAATATATTCTATAATTATATCCCCCTCTAGTAATCCACAGAAGGTGTGTACATGTAAGAGAGGGATCCTATGATCTACTGAGGACAGGAATACAGGTACAGTGGTGCCTCGCATAGCAACGTTAATCCGTGCAGCAAAAATTGCTGCTAAGCGATTTCGTCGCTATGCGATTTTAAAAAGCCCATAGAAACGCATTAAAACCTGTTTCACTGCCTCTAAAGCCATTTTCACTGCCACTAAAGCGAGGAATCCGTGCGAAAACACAGCGGGTGGCCATTTTTTACCCGGCGGCCATGTTAAAAAATCATCGCTTTGCGATGATCGGTAAGCGAAACAGGGAACTGATCATCGCAAAGCGAAAAATCCCCATAGGAAACATCGCTTTTACGATCGCAAAAAGTTAATCGCTATGCAGTTTCATTGCTAAACGGAGTGCCCGTTAAGCGAGGCACCACTGTATCTGACTGATGAAAGCTTACCACAATATATAAGTTTCAAAGATGCCTTTGAACTGTTTTTGAAGCAAGCGAACAACTCAGTATAACATTAGTAATGTTACATTATGTATTGTCAAGATGGAAGTGATTTCTAATGACCCTAATAGGGGTTTCAAGCTATTTAAAGAGTTGTTTTACTAGTTCCACACCTGAGTCCTAATCCATCACTCTATCCACAATGCCACACTGAGAATCTAACATTAGTAATACTCACCCATAATTTTCTTGTGCCCCCTTGTTGCCCAGTCGGAAGCTCTAGGTGGAGATCACCTCCACTTGAATACATTTCTACTACCTGCAAGAATAGGAAAACATGAAAATAAAAATGTAATTATTAATCAAGATATAACTAAGTTCAAATAAGACACACTGAAGTAAAATGGATAGTCTACATTGAGGTTCAGGTCAATCATAAAACCAAAACGGCATTGGTTGCCCTGCAAGATGGAGGCAGATGGGGGAATATAACCCTACTAGCCCTCATTGATCTTTCTTTTGTCTTTGATATCATCAATCATGGTATCCTCCTGGGATGCTTACAGAGTTTTGGACTTGGGGGGCTCCATTTTTTGGTGGTTCTAGTTCTTCCTCAAAGGCTGGTCAGATAGTACAGCGGGGGGGGGCTGTCCACTCCTTGGGACTTAACAGGATCTCCACAGTGATTAGCTGTCTTCCTAACATTCTTTAATATCTATATGAGGCCATTGGAAGATGTCATACAGAGATTTGGAGTTTGTTGTCATCAGTATGTGGATAACACACAACTCTATCTCTCCTTTTCCTCATCTGCACGTGATGCCGTGCAATTCCTTGAATGCTACCTGGAGTCAACAATGGATTGGACGACAGCCAATAAACTGAAACTGAATCCAGATAAGATGGAGATCCTATTGATGCAAGGACAACCGGACAGGTTAGAGAGATATTTACCTGGCCTTGGTAGGGTTAAACTCTCCCTGAAAGATCAGGTTCGCAGCTTGGGAGTAATCCTGGACCCAGCTCTATATGGAGGCACAACAAGAGCCTTATGGCCCAGTGGTTAAACTGCTGTACTGCAGCCAAAACTGTGCTCACAACCTAGGGTTCAATCCCAGGTAGCCTCATGGTTGACTCAGCCTTCTATACATCCCAGGTTGGTAAAATTAGCACCCAGCTTGCTGGGGGGGGCAATGTGTAGCCTGCATAATTAACATGTAAACCACCCAAGGAGTGTTTGAAGCACTATGGGGTGGTATATAAGCAGCACGTTTTGCTTATTCTTTGCTTCTGATTTCAATGGTGTATTTTATCAATTTCAGTTGATTGCCCAGCTGCACCCTCATCTGGATAAGAAATGTGTAACTGCTGTGGTTCATGCATTGGTAATCTCTAAAACAGACAAACGTAGGGTTGCCCTTGAAGTCATTATGGAAACTTCAGCTGGTCCAAATGCAGCAGCCAGACTGATTACAGGTACCAGCTTATATTAACAAATGTTCATAGTCATGGTATGTCTTTATTGGCTCCCTGTTAATTTCCATGCTCAATTTAAGGTGCTAGTTATAACCTATAAAATCCTTAACAGGTTAGGACCTCAACACTTGACAGAATGTCTCAGCCATAAAATTGTTAACTGTCCCACCTGCTCCTTGCAGTTCTTGATGTTGAGAACTGTAACACTTAGGGGGACCAAAAAAGGCAACACTAGGAACAGGGTTTTCTTGGTTGTAACCCCCTTCCGTCTGGAATATGTCTTCTACACAGATTATCCAGGCACCATCCTGGAATCTAATTTCTCAGAAAGCTAATCAAGACTGTATTATAGAAAGCTGTCTTCTGCTATGTAGAAGTTAATTAGTTAAATAATAAATAAATGAATGAATGAATGAATGAATGAATGAATGAATGAATGAATGAATGAATGAATAAATAAATAAATAAATAAATAAATAAATAAATTTCCACATGCAAAACATCCTAATAAATAATAACCATGTGCCATCAAGTCAATTCTGATGTAGGGTGATCCCTTTCGGGGTTTTCCAGGTACAGAACACTCATATGAGTTTTACCATTCCCTTCTTCTGGGAGTGCCTTGGGACTGTGCAGCTTGTTCAAGACCACACAATCTGGATCTACTCATAGAATCGAACTGCAAACCTTTGGCTGCAGCCAGATTCTTAAGCCGCTGAGCTATCCAGCCAGCTAAAGTGTATTAAATGTATAACTCAATTATGACCACTAAGGCAAATATTTTAAATTCAGTTAATTGTATGGATAATACTGAAAGCTGGCAAAAAAAGAGATGAGATTAAAGTTTCCTAGAGGCATCTGAAGTACTTTTAATATTAAAACATTTAAGGAGTAATTATAAACATGAAAGCATTCTTACTCACCTGCAAAGGTTCACTATGGGGGTTGTGTATATTTATTATAGGAGAAAAACTGCTATTCACAGGAACTTTTGCCCCAATAAAAGGACGTAGCCTGTAGGGGTTTGGTACTCCTACACCAAACACCTATTCAAAGGGGGAAAGAAAAAGAAGAGGGGGAGAGAAAGAAAAAGAAATATTTCAATATTCCCATATGTGTATTTCTGTTATGCTTTCTATCTTTAAAACCTGCTCAGCTGTAAACAGCAAAGAAAATTTCTCTAGACAAAGATTATCTTTATTCTAAACTGATTTCAGGCAAGATTTAATATCCTTAGGCACAAGAAAACACTGAAGTTTTTCTTGCTTTCAATATCTACTAGCTAAGCTTTCATCAGAATACAATTCTTGCTTTATACCTAGATTTAAATTTTGTAGTACAGTATACAGAACTTTCACATACCCTATCTGTATGATTTAAGCATTGGCTGCACTTAAATTATCATGATTACGCACATAAAAATGTGCATAATGGTCTGGTCATTACTTTACACAGCATCAGCATAATGTGGCCACATGCTGCTCCCCCCAAGTCAATTTGTATAACCCCCTGACCTCCAAAATACTACAGTGGGGTCTTGACTTAAGAACGGCTCGAGTTAAGAACATTTTGACTTAAGAACCGCTCTCATAGGAAAATATTGACTTGACTTACATACTTAGATTTGAGTTAAGAACTGAAAAAACCCACGTGGGAGGCAGGGAAAGTGCAAAATTTGAACTTTCAGTTAACTGTTGGCCAGTGAAAAGGGTGCCTGTCTGCTTCCTCACTCCTCCCAGCGTTTAGAGAATGGATTGGGAGACAGTCTTCAGACTGCCTGGTACTGTCCTGCCTGGACTGTATTTTCCCTGCCTTCCATGACCCTTTCTTGACCTAAGAAAAAAAGAAACAAAATATCCCCCTCTAGTGGTCGAAGGCAGAATAGCAGCTTCCCATTAGTTTCTATGGACGGAAAAGAGCAGATACGGATCAAATGGTTTTTAATGCATTCGTATGGGAAATGCAGATTTGACCTGAGAACTTTTTGACTTGAGAACCGCCTTCCAATACGGATTAAGTTCTCAAGTCAAGACCCCACTGTATTTAAACAACAAAACACACACACTGCAGTTTGGTGCCAGAAAAAGGGCAGCATATCTTTTTAAAAACTTTAATTGATCCAGCTGATTCAGGAAATTTTCAATCAGATTGAATACTTCTTGGTTTCTGATTGAAAATTAAACTGGAATTATTTGGTCCAGCAGAAAGCTCTGTCAATTTAGCCAGGCAATTAAGACAACATGTACATAAAAATTACAACCTAAAACAATATTAACCCAATAAAAAGTATAAACTAGCAGACTGTGCCTCAGACATCTTTGCCATGGGTGGCTTTTTTGAAATGTGGATATTGATGTAGCCTCTGTCCTGCCAGTGATAATAGAATTTGGCCCCTAACTCAGCCAAGCCTCCCCATGCTGTCCTTGTATATGCAGTAAAAAGTTCCTGGCAACTATGTTCTTGCAAAAGCTAGTTTTGTTGTTTAAGTGCTCTCTTTCCCTTAAATTTTTAACACTATGAAGTACTGAAAAACTAATATATTAATTGCAATTCTGCTATAAATCTTCATGTTTATCATCAATATTGTCCCTCTTAAATCAACAGCAAACAGAAGTTATAGTAGTGTTTTAAAGGTGAAAATGGATTTACTATTGTCTAAGATGACCGCACAAGCTGAAAGCTTAGCATTTGCCCAGTTCTTTGCTTATTTCTAAGCTGCAAGATGACACGCAAGGAGTATTACAAAAATTATTCTCTCAAATGCAGAATATATGCATAGTTTATGGTATAATTATAGCATTATCAAACCCTATAAGCAAATTACAGCTGAGCAACATCTTATTTTATATACAGGTATAATTTTAGACTACCATTTACAGCTGTTAATTTCAACAGAAATATTTTCCCTTTGAGGGCATGAGAGGATGGCAGTCCTCAGAGATGCTTTGCATTGAACCAAAATACATGTATGGAATCTGACACATTATTCAAATTAGTATTTACTTCTTACACAATTCTTAAAGAAGTGTTAAAATGAAATTTTCTATTACCTGATAAGTAAATACTCCATGATTAGATGTATTAATAAATAATGTGTTTTCTACATTTCCCACCATTCTTGCAAGAAAAACTACATCAAATGATGTGTTCCCTCCTGGAAGGATTTTCTGAAAAATAAACAGCAGACATAACATTAAATGCTATTCATCTGGAAAGTATAATATTTCAAGAATGAAGCTTGTATTCAAAAGGAGATGAATGTTGAAAATGACAGTAGAAGCTGACAGTGAAAATGATACATGCGCAGACTAACCACATGGTGTAGTAGAGTGTGCTGAACTGTTCTCAACATTTATTTATTTATTCATTTATTTATTTTGTATCATTTATATGCTACCGTTCTCATGGTGAGGGGACTCAAGGCAGTTCACAATGTCAGAACAAGCAGTACTAAAAGCACAATAAATAACAGGTTAAATGTTTTTTTAAATTTAAATCAGTTTTTCCATAAAAACACACACATTGTAGCAACTTTCACAGTACATAACCATTGCATAAAATAATAAAAATGAAATTTAGCTCCTTTAATCTCACCCTTTTGTTGAGGTTGGGGGACTAAAGAAAAGGCCATAGGCCTGCTGAGACTATCCTGCTATATATAATCACAACACAGTTCTGAGCATTTTGGGAGTGTCGCTCAGGTGGAACTAGATGGAATATTGAACAGGTTTACTTTTTATGGTTTTTTTGTTCATTATGTGCAGGCAGAACTGCTGTATTAACTAAATCTTGCATTAAGCCAGATCCAGCAGCAGCTATAATTAAATGACAGAATTTTCATAGGAAAAACAGGAAGTTTCAAGCACTTATACATTCTTAATTTTAAATAATATTAAATGCATTACCAATTGGCTGTCTCATTTGCTCCACTGACATTATAAAACTTCTCTATGGAATCCAAGAGCAAAACATTTACCCTCCAAAATAAAATATTTACTTTCAGAGTTTTGCTTAATCTACTCTTTCTTGCTAAGGGAGCAGGAGGGATAATCTAACCAGAATGTAAAGCATAAAACAGCTTGGGTTGAAGTTGACAACACACAGTCCATCTGCAGTATCAGAACATGCATTTTTATTAGTACAGGTTCTAGTTCCAACCAAAGACAAAGAAATATCCATAATAAGAAACTTTATTAAATGTAACGATTCCTTCAGAGACGATGTGTGGTGGTTAGATACCTCCTTTGCTGCTATTCAGAGGGCTCTGAAGTTACTTTCCATATAGTCCTACTCTCCTACATACACAAAATTGCTAAATATTAGTTATTTTAGGAGCACTAAAATTTGCAGAATACCATCCTGCAACATGTTGACAGAATCCTATTGGAATTTTGTTGTAGTACAAGAAAAATTACATAAACTGTGACAGAGAATTGCGGCCAATTAATGAAGTGCCAGTCACATGTCTGGCTGCATGCCATATTGGGATAAAATTTGCAGAATACCATCCTGCAACATGTTGACAGAATCCTATTGGAATTTTGTTGTAGTACAAGAAAAATTACATAAACTGTGACAGAGAATTGCGGCCAATTAATGAAGTGCCAGTCACATGTCTGGTTGCATGCCATATGCCATGAGGTGACCAAAAACATGTTAATAAACTGCAATTTGCCACTGTGTCGCATGCAAATTTCATTTGCTCCGGACTAAAATCCCAGAAAGATTTTCTGGTCCCTGGGTTACTGCAAAAAGACTCTTACCAAGATAAGATTCATCAATTAATCTCTGCATTAGTTTGGAAGAATTTTCCAAACATCATTTTTCTCCTCCAGCTATACTAGTTATTAATTATTTCATAAATGCGGGAGGGGGGGGGAAGGAGCAAAAACAATGATCATTTTTTGTTGTTTAGCATTCAAGCTGGATGATAAAAAAATAATCCTCAGAGTAATACAGTGGATCCTCTACTTAAGGAATTAATCCATATTGGAACGGTGGCTGTAAGTCGAAAAGTCTGTAGGTCGAATCTCCATTGACCTACAATGCATTGAAAACTGATTAATCGCACAATTGGCACTTTTTATTCTATTTTTGTTCCATTTTTGGTTTTTTTCTGGTCTGTAAGTCGATTCTCCGGCTGTAAGTCGAATCTAAATTTTGCAGCCAGAGAAGTCTGTAACTCGAAAAGTCTGTAAGTCGAGCCATCTGTAAGTCGAGGGTCCACTGTATGAAAGCTCACATATTACTTTGCACACTGCCATTCTGTTCTTGTGTGGAATGGGTTCTTCTAGTGGAGCAAAGCAAGAAGCAAAGCAAAGCAGTTACTTCATCACAGAATAATAGAATTGTTGTAGGGTTGGAAGGGACCTTGGAGGTCTTCTAGTTGAACTCCCTGCCTAAGGCAGGAGACCTCACACCATCCCAGACAGATGGCTGTCCAATCTTTTCTTGAAAACCTCCAGCAATGAGGCACCCACAACATGGGGAGGCAAGCTGTTCCACTGCTGAATAGCTCTCACCGTCAGGAAATTCCTCCTTATTTCCAGGTTGGATCTCCCTCTATGAGTTTCCACCCATTGGTTCTTGTCCTACCCTCAGGAGAAGAAATGGAGAAGAAATCGATGCCTTCTTCCTTGTGGTAACCCTTCAGATATTGGAAGACTGCTTTCACGTCTCCCCTCAGTCTTCTCTTTGTTACGCTAAACATATCTAGTTCTTTTAGTCATTCTTCATAGGATTTAGCCTCCAGTCCCTTTATCATCTTTGTTGCTCTTCTCTGCACCCCTTCCAGAGCTTAGGCGTCTTTTTTGTACTGTGGTGACCAGAAATGGACACAGCATTCAAAGTGCGGCCGCACCAGCACGGTATAGAGTGGTACTATCACTTCCCGTGATCTTGGTGCTATGCCCCTGTTGATGCAGTCTAGGACTGTGTTGGCTTGCTTGGCAGGTGCAGCACACTGCTGACTCATCCTTAGGCAGTGGTCCACCAGGATACCTAAATCCCTCTCACAGGTACTACTGTCAAGCCAGGTACTACCCATCCTGTACCTGTGTATCTGGTTTCTCCTGCCAAAGTGCAGGACCTCACTTTTCCTACCACTGAACTGCATCTTATTGGATAGGGCTCAATTTGGATTCTTCTGAATGTTGAGTCTATCATCCAAAGTATTAGCAATTGACTACAGATCACAGTAACATTACAATATACCAGGTTTTATACACTATATAGCTCCAGCTATCAGAATTTAATTAAACCAAATAAAACTGAAGCACAATAAAGAAGCAATTACTGTTATCATCTGGTGACTTCAACTCTTAATTGTTCTTAAGATCACTGGAAGAGTGGAACAAAAACTCTAAGATGGTCTGTTAAGGACCGCCAAAGCTCTTTTTAAGGTGAATGATGGTTTCCAAAATTTATTTTAAAGGCAGTCTGCAATTATTGTTTGCCAGTTGATCACTTCTTGATTTCCAAAATTTAAAAGCAATATAAAACCACAGTTAAGCCTGCTTAATCATGGCTTGATGTAATATGTGAGTTGAATACAGTAGGATACCTGTAACTGGGAGGGTGGTTAGTTCTACAATCTACAATGGATGCCTGAAACAGAAATTACAAGAAAATCCGTCCGTCCGTCCATCCATCCGTCCGTCCGTCCTCCCAACCTTCCTTCATTTATTTATTTAACTTATATGCCGCCCACACTACCCAAAGGTCTCTGGGTAGCTTACATTTAAAATACAATAAAAAGACAAAAACATATAAAATGCAATTAAAATATATACTCTAAAAATTGCCATCAGAACCCACAGCTGATATTATTTCAATTAAAAGCCTTCTGGAATAGGAAGGTTTTGACCTGGCACCGAAATGTCATCAGCGTCAGCACCAGATGAATCTCAGTCAGGAGGGCATTCCATAGTCTGGGGCAGCTGCTGAAAAGGTCCTTTCTCTACAAGCCATCCCTCTCACCTCCTTGAGGGATGGCTCTTTCAAAGGACCCCCTGGCTAGATCTTAACTGCCAGGTAGGTTCATATGGAAGGAGGCGGTCCTTCAGGTATCAAGGGCCCAAGTGTCTAGGGCTTTATATGTCAAAACAAGCACTTCAAATTGGGCCCAGGCAGTCACTGGTAGCCAATGTAATTTAATCAGAATTAGCTTGATATGTCCACTAGCGGCCCCACCACACACCAGCCGCTCAGCTCGATTCTGGACCAGTTGCAGTCGCCGAACCGTCTTCAAAGGCAGCCCCGAATAGAGCGCATTGCAATAATTTATACGAGATGTTACCAGTGCATGTGTAACTGTTATGAGACTCCGCTTGTCCAGGTAGGGCCCTAGGTACAATTTCCGCAGCTGAAGGAAGGCACCCCTGGCCACCGAGTCCACCTGGGCTTCCAGAGTTAGACTGGGGTTTCGGGGGCACCCCCAGGCTGTGGACCTGTCCCTTAGGGGGAGTGTAACCCCATTGAGGGCAGGGAAATGGCCCTCCAGCCTGTCCAGCGAAGCACCCACTAACAGCACTTCTGTCTCCCCAGCACCACCCTCTGGACACGGTCAGCCAGGAAGGAGCAGACCACCGTAAACAGTGCCCCCAACTCCCAACCCAGCCAGCCTATCCAGAAGGACACCATGGTCGATGGTGTCAAAAGTTGTTGAGAGGTCCAGGAGTATCAACAGGGTCACACTCCCCCTGTCTCTCTCCCGGCAAAGTTACAGGGCGACCAAGGCAAGTCTCTGAACCAAAACCCGGCCTGAAACCCGATTGAATGGATTTAGAAAATCTGTTTCATCCAGCAGCACCTGGAGTTGCTCTGCCACAACCCACTCCAACACTTTGCCCAAATAAGGGAGGTTTGCCACTGGTCGGTAGTTAACCCCCAGCCTTGGGTCCAGGTTAGGCTTTTTAAGGAGTGGACAAATTACTGCCTCTTTCAAGGTGGAGGGACCACTCCCTCTCTCAAAGAGGCATTCATAGCCTCCTGGACCCAGGTGCAAACCCCCCCTGGCAGATCTTCCAATTAGCCAAGATGGGCAAGGGTCGAGCGAGTGGTGGTAGAACGGACAGATCCAAGCACCCTGTCAACATCCTCAGGTCTCAACAATTGAAACTCATCCATTAATACTTGACCTAAGCACAGCACACTGGACACATCCTCTGATTGTGCAGTAATAGTGGAGTCCAACCCACTGTGAATCTGAATGGCAAATGAATGGCAAACTCATCACAGTGAGCTGATGAACAGTCAGGGACCTCCACCGGATTTCCCGGTTGAAGAAGATCCCAGATCACCCGAAACAGCTCTGCTGGACGACATTCTGAGGAAGCAATACGGCTGGAGAAATATTGCCATTTCGCCAGCCGTATTGCCATGAAATAGGCCTGATAATGGGTCTAAGTCGTGTTTGATCGGACTCTCGGCGGGATTTCCTCCACCTGCACTACAGCCATCTCCCCTCTCGTTTCATCACCCACAGTTAAGAAGTATACCAAGGAGCTGTCTGGGCTCTGCGTGCAGGGAGAGAGCGCTTAGGCACAATCGTGTCAACTGCCCGGGTCATCTCCCTGTTCCATAGGGTGACCTGAGCTTCAACAGGAGTGCCAATCATATCAGACAGATAACCCCCAGAGCATTCAGGAAACCATCTGGATCAATTAGTCTCAAAGGGTGGATCATCTTAATGGATCCCCCACCCTTGCAGAGGAAAGAAGCTAACAGACTAAACTTGACCAGGAAGTGGTCTGACCATGACAATGGGGTCACAACCAGCCCATCCACCTCCAAACCACCATCTTCCAGTCCCGTTGGAACATACAATGGGACAGGACAAAAGCTACAAGGGACCACCCTTTTATGTTGTATATAGGGCCACAGCAAACCATGGATAAGTGGAACCATGGATACTGATCCCACTAATGCGGGGGTCCTACTATAATCCTCTTACGACATGTTTATAAATTTTCACTTTACTGGACACATGCATCTTAGTTTTAACTGGTAATAAGTAATTTTGAATGTTATACAGCAGCACTTATTTTAACACTTTAACATGGGCTTTAACATTTTGCAAACAGCCACTTGTCATTGGTAAGCCACTGTTTCTTCTGAATGCAAACCTTACCTTATCTGGTGCACCTGTCAACATGTGCTAAAAGCAGACAAGGGTATTTTTTGCTAAATGTTTGTGCTTAGCTGCAAGATTGCCTTGCTGTACATGAACTCAGTATGATAAAGGTTAGAATGGATTGCATTTGCAAAATCAGGGGAATTTAATTTATTTATTTTATTTATTTATTTGTTCGATTTATATCCCACTCATCTGGTATATTCTACCACTCTGGGCGGCTTACAGAATAGCAAAACAATTAAAAAACATAAAAACATTAGCATACAATAATAACAAATAGTGCAGGAATAAATAAATAATAAATAGCAAAGCAAAAGAAATCAGTAGTTGACAGGAGGGAAGGCCTGGATGTCCATCCATGTTTTCCGCTGGCATTTGAAAGTACCCAGCGTAGGGGCCTCGCGAATCTCCAGAGGAAGGTTGTTCCAAAGGCGAGGAGCCACCGCCGAGAAGGCCCGGCTTCGAGTCTTTTCCCTCCGGGCCTCTCTCGGCATCAGGCTCCTCAGCCTCACCTCCTGACTCATGCAGGTGATCCGAGTAGATCTTGGTGGGAGCAGACGCTCCGCCAAGTATCGAGGTCCTACACCGTTTAGGGCCTTATAGGTAAGCATTAGAACTTTGAATTCAATGCGGAAACGGATGAAACTGACTGAGTTTTGTTAATACTTCCGCTAAAGTTACAAGTCATCAAATCTCTAAAGGAACATTTACGCATGTGTGAAGGGAATGAACTATCTCCTAGAGAACACCTCCCCCCACATTTCCTTTTTGTATAATTGCTCCAATGTAGTACATGCTGTCATGTGAGCTCCCATTGAACAAGAAGTTGTTTTGGTCAAGGAAACAATCTTTAAAGGAAAATTTGTTAGGCTAGAGTGCAACAGGTTTGCAAAATAACATTAATTTCTAAAGGCAGAGCTGACTCACCCTGTTTTGAAAAAAAGATGCATGAAAATGTGAGGTTGTTGCAGATATCGATACTAATATAATAGTTTCTTCTGTACTGGGATTATGTAAGAAAACTTTTTCCATTTTTGGCATCCCAACTGGCCTGCATAACAAGAGCAGAAAAGGCATTTAGAATACTTTGTCAGGATCTTTATGCTTTTATGGTTGTAGAGAAGATGATAAGGGGAATGTAAAGACATTTTTTCTTGTGCATTCTACTTCTTTGAGAAGGTGTTTCGTTTAACTGTTTGCATTATTACTTCATGGCAAGCAAACATAGTTCATCCCATGACTCATGATGCAACAGCCAATCCTTTGATAACCAGAGAGGACTTAGTTTAGGTTTGCGTTTGCAACTATATCTCCTCTATAACCTTTGCTTAGAGATTGCAGATGATCTTGTTTATAAAATTATTTGTATCATGCTTTCTGTTACATCTGCCATGTCAGACCCTAACCAAAATGACTCAACTGAATTTCCTCTTGGTTTTAAGAACAGACAGGTGGAGGGTGGACTGGTTCTCAGTTTTTATGTATATCTTGATTCACAAATAAGGTCCTGTCTAGCTATGCATAAAAATTGGGTTTACTACTGCTTTCACGTGCACTTGTGGGCCTATAGAAAAGTTTCATTTAAAAGCAAGTGACTTTGCATAACTATAAGGATTATCAGGCCTCCCTTTCCTTATGAAAGATTTGAACAATCACACCAACCTAGAAAATATTAAAGTATAACCAGACACATACAACTGAATTAACTGCTAACCAAGTTATTTATATCTGGGGGGGGGGAAATTAAGTGTAGCAACTTGAAGACTGACATAAACACAGGGATGACTTGTCAACAGAAAAAGTAAACAACTAAGACTGACCTTCAGTAATTTTTCTGAATATAGATAATTCAAATACAGTGGTGCCTCGTACAACGAGTGCCCCGTTTAACGATGAATTCGCATAGCGATGGCATTTTTGCCATCGCTTTTGCGATCGTATAACGATGTTGCCTATGGGGAAAAATCGCTTTGCGATGTTTTCCCCATAGGCACCATTTTCCCCCAGCTGAGCGG